AGGTGGAATATACTAAATATAAAACACATTTCTAGAGTATCTCTGTAGTTTAAATTCAGGGGTACCATCCTCCACTGACATCAAGGATTGCCTGGAAATACCTCTTATAAGACTTGGAATTGGCATTTTTTCCATGTTACCATTTCTTATTTAGTCAGCTTTGATTTAAAATTCAAAACTCTTAATTTGTGTTTTATTTTAAGGGATAATTGAGACAATACTGAATTGTAGCTAGAGTTTTCCTGCCTGGCCCACAGTCAGGACAAATCTTTGCCACCCGCCAGTCCCACAGCCATTCAAACCCGATCAAGTAAACACAGAGACTTATATTGATTACAAACTGTATGGCCGTGGCAGGCTTCTTGTTAACTATTCTTACAGCTTAAATTAATCCATTTTTATTAATCTATACCTTGTCACGTGGCTTGTGGCTTACCGGTACTTTACATCTTCCTTGTCCTGATGGCGGCTGGCAGTGTCTCCCTCACCCAGCTTCCTGTTCTCTCAATTCTCCTCTCTGTTAGTCTCGCCTATACTTCCTGCCTGGCCACTGACCAATAAGTGATTTATTCATTGACCAATCAGCAACACATTTGACATACAGACCATCCCACAGCACTTCCCCTTTTCTTAAAAAGGAAGGTTTTAACCTTTACACATCTCCAAAGTCAGCTTGGTATATTTGGGAATTTGGGCGTAGCTTCTCTTACTACTTCCTGCTGGAGGGGGGCGCTGTATCTTATGGGGACACAAAGAAAATTTTAGGATCATGGAGTAGTCCGTGAGGCTGTATCATCTGAGCCAGTTGCCTTGAAACGGTCCTGGATGTTGGATCATCTGGGCCATGGTGTCATCGGAGACCTTTCAGGTGGTCTTGGCTGGTCAAACCTGATGTGTCTTAATCTGGAACAAATCTATAGCCTCTGGCTTTCTGTGGAAATAAAAGCAGAGCCTCCTTTCCAAAGCAATATATCCTTACATCCAAATTTTGAAGTCAAGGTACCTTTAAAATATACATTTTGGCATAACTCAACAGCTTTTGTAATCAAATGCTTTTCTTTAGTTACGAATATCAAAGAGAACATAATCCAGATTCTCTGTGTGGTAGTCATCTTTACGTGGCTTATTTTTTTTATATTAGCTTGAGCCTATTGCTTTGAACTGTAGCCTTCTAAGCCTGAAACGGCGCTGGCGCTGCTGGCTCCGCCCACTTCAGCTTCCCAACATGGCGGTGATACGTTTTCCGCCAGCTCTGGGAGCCATCAACTCTCAGAAATAGTGGGTCTATGCTTCTATCAAAGCAGCGTGTAGCCCAGAAACCTCTTTTTTTTGTTTTGTTTTGTACTAGCAAAGGCTAAATCCACCACACAACTTAATGTGCCACTTGCAGAGGCCTCATTCCCGCCATACTGTAGGTCGAGCGCGTACGCTAGGAACCCGCCAGTAGCTCAAACCGGCAGCTGCCGCTCATTTGAGAGAGACAATTAGGAAGCTGTTTTTAGCTCCGTTTTAGAATCTTTTTTCTCAGTTTTTAGGTGGAAACTCTTGCCACCACATTGGACGCCATTTGTAGGTAGAGTTTTCCTGCCTGGCCCACAGTCAGGACAAATCTCTGACACTGAATGATTTTTAAAATGAAGTATTAAAGTATTAGCTGGGTTAACCCCAAGCACTCGGAAGGCAGAGGCAGATGGATCTCTGTGAGTTCAAGGCCAGCCTAGTCTACAGAGTGAGTTCCAGAACAGCCAGAGCTATGCAGAAAAACCCTGTCTCAAAGAACCAAAAAAATAAGATGAAGTATTAAAAAGCTGACACGATGAATGGTTCCTGACAGCTCCCCATATTTCTTTCACAAGGCACAAAAGTTTAACTTAGAGCATTTCTCATTTGAGATGAAACCCCAAATCTAGGTTCCAGTTCAATAGCTGAGCCACATGGTCAAGCTTTCCTCTGTATTTCTTCACACACTGAAAGGGGTGAAACTTTCCGAGGTTGGCGTGCAGCTTATTGGAGATACAGAACTATTTGTAAGATAATAAAGTACCACATTAGTGTTCTCTTAATCTAAAACTCTACCTGTTGCTTTCTTATAGTTAATAATTTGTTTTACAGAAACTTAATATTTGAATTTCTGTCATTTTCTCCACAGTATCACTTATAAAGTATATATAGACAGTTGTATTCTTATTATATTTAATGTATACCTGTTCTGACAGTTTTCCTGAACATTTTGTCAATCAACTTTTTCACTATAGACAAATAAATTTCATGAGTCTTTAGTTGACTTAGAATACTTTTGTGTGTCTGTATTTTTTTTTCAAAGTACAGAGTGTAATTTCAGAAGATATTTATACAAAAAGAAGACAAAGGAAAAAAGTTATAAGGACGGTGAGGAGAACGTTCCTGCCGGCTAGGACACAGTATTCCTGTGGAAGGGCACCCCACCCCCCATGACCCCACTGTTTTCTGCAGTGTATGCTGCCAAGATAAATTCCTCCTCTTAACCCTTGGATTGATCTTGTAGTTCCACAGAGGTTCTGTGGCGGTGAATCACACTCAAGGTGTTTATTTGGACTGTTATTTCATCCACCACTGTCTAGCTCCAGGCCCCCTTGTTTGGAGTCTTAATTCTTCAAAATCATTTTTGCTGCTACAGCCACAAAGTCACAGCATGCTAGAAACAGACTGGGTTTTCTACATTACTTTCCTGCAGTTCCAATCAAAGTTCTGAGCATCACAAGGCACTTTAATGCCTTCTTGGAAGAGCTCTGGGCTATACTGCATGCCTAGGCAAGTGACTTGACCCAAGGCTCAGTTTCTCCATCAGTGTATTGTATCTCTATGACTTGTCTATTTTTAAGGATGGTAGGCTTAGATGAAAACCACAGGACAGAGCACGGTGTCTACAGCCTTGTTGAATACAAACCTTGAACGTTTCCATTTCTGTCATCTAAATCTACCATTGCAGGTATCCCTAACACTGCAGCTCTCCAACCATAATCCCACTGTAACAGTCCACACAACCCAGACATGGCCCAAAGGCTGGGTCTTCTCTGATGCCCCGCTCTCCTAGACTTCTCTTTGTTGACCAATCTTCATCAGAGATGGGATTATTCCTGACCAACATTTCCAGTCATTCCAAAAATTCCTGGGGCATGAGCAAGGCTGGGTGTGTTTGGAGAGGAAGGTAAGTAATGAGGAAGTGTGAGTGTGCTAATGTGGCTGTGACCGATTTAAATGAAGGGCTGTTTTCTGGGGTTGAGGAAGGAAACAGCAACCCAGTTTTGTACCCAAAAGACTTAAGTGAATAAAGCACTAAATTATATAGGATATCAAAAGACTCAGCTGGGCACTCAGCCACTCTCCCAGACATTTGCTGAGCTAGAAACTAAGCTTTCCCTACTCACTGTCAACAACTACATAAACACACTAGCAGAGGAGGTGGGGGGTAGGGAGTTAGGAGGCAAAGAAAATGTGGCATACTAGAAATTTTCTGAAAATAAGTGGACAGTACCTGAAAGAATGGGGGAGACTGGAAGAGAAAGGGGAACTTGAAGAAAAATACATGCAGGCAAAGTATACATACACATAAAGTTAAAATACAGTTAAATCTTTTTAAGTAGACCCACTAATTGCCAAGAAAAATAACTGCTTGAGACCGACACAGCCGTAGAATGTTATAATTTTATAACAACGAAAGCAAGGTCCTAGCAGTGTCCAGAGTGTGCTGGGGCCTGGGGGTGTAGGGGTGCAGGGCTCCAGGTCCAAAATCCAACAAGAACAGCCTATAAGTCTTATCAGCAGTGTCACTTGCTGGCTGCCAACTGGACTATTTCTGAGTGCTGATAGGAAACTGTTTTTCAAAATAGAATTCTGTATCTAGCCAAACAGCTGCTCAAAGGTAAGTACAGAGAAAAGCCAGTTCCCCCTTCCCTTAGTGATTTTCCTGTAGGAAGGACTGGAACGATCAACTGCAGGAAAATGAGAGTTGGGCAAGAAATGGGCACTAGACTGGGGGAGGGGAACAGATATTACACAGGGGAAACAGTCTTCAGACAAAGACCGCACCCGTTCCAGAAGTGTTCAGAGCAGAATAGGAAAAACGTTTTGTTTTGGCAAAGGCTGCCAAAAAGAATCAGTAATCAAAGTCTAATCAAAGGTTCGAGGAAGCAGGTATTTTCCGTCACTGTTGGGAACATCCCTTGTCAAAACCTGAATGCAAGTAATGGACAAGAGTTATGAAAGGGGATATATAGCTAATTTCTTTTCTGGCTCTAATACTGTCATGGGTTTTTCACATTTGGTGATAGTTAAGTGCATACAAACATATTCAGTAGTTAAAGCGTGAAAATCTGATGTGATACTCCATGGCCTCCATGTGTTTGTGTGTGTGTGTGTGTGTGTGTGTGTGTGTGTGTGTGTGTGTGTATGTGTGTATTTAAAAAAAAAAAAAAACACCTTTGGAGGCCAGCATCTGGTAGCACCTAACAGAAACTCCACTACCAGAATTGCATCCCTATACAGGTATTCCTATACAGGCAGCACAAAGTAGAACAGACTCAGTGAAATCACCTGCATTCAGATTGTTTCCTCGTTTATGAAATGGAAAAACTGTCCCAAGTTGCAAGAACTAAATAAAGGCTCACACCCTAATTCCAGCACTCTGGAGGCGGAGGCAGGAGGACTGGATAGCAAGTTCCAGGCCAGGTTTAACTATAAACTGAGACCTTGTCTCAAACAAAACAACAGAAAAGCTTTCTGTGGGGGACTTAGCATGTTGGCACACAGTAACTACACAGTTAACGGCATCTTCCATCTACAAACACATTAGTTTGGACAAGGATGTTTAGTACACCACTGTTCAAAAAAGCAAAAAAAGGCAACACATATAGTGTTATTTTCACATGGAGGTTGTGGACATGGACCTTGCTGAAGTATCCATGGAGCAGAAGCAAACACACATTATATTAAAAGCTTTTATTTTAATTTACTATACATACTTAAATTTTAGAAGGCTACTGAGTAGATACAGTGCTCTCTGTCTGTCTGATTGCATCTTCAGTTACCTGAAAAGACAGCCACAGCTTTACTCCTTCACAGCTCTTTCAGGTACCCACAGTTCAACCCTCCAACCTGTCCCACTTTCCTTCAGTGATTATTACAAAGTTAAACAAGAAAAAAAGACTTAAAAAACAAGTTGCCAATATAAATCTTCAAGTGTATCCCACTTAAAACTATGTAATCAGAGGCATATTATATGTAGGCTTCCCAAGTTTCTCACCCTTATTCTGTCTATAGAACAAAAACATTACTATGAGAAAAATCACCAGAAGTGAAACACAAAGTATTCTTATTCCATGTATCTTGTATGGGCACATTTCTGTTTGGAACAGATTGTGTTACAGACCCACTGCAAATAGGTACCAGCACTCCCATGGTCCTATTACATGGACAGAACTGTCATGAAGAAATACGCAACTTGAAAATAAACTGGTCATGTGCTTAACGTGTTTGTTGGGTGGCCTTACTTTACTGTTCACAGAGTGACTGAGTAAGTCAGAAGAGCTGAGGCAGGTCTCAGGGCAGCTCGAAGACAAGAAGAGTGAAAGCGGGAAGTGCTCAGGTCAGGAAATGTGACACTCTTATTTATGCAGGTTAAACATTAGAGCCATGTTTTGAACCTAGCTTTTCAGGGCATTCAACATTTAACAGTCACGGCAACTTTAAATCACATAAGCCTTCATTTTTCAAAAGCTCATTAAGTTTACAAAACAAAAAAAAAAAAAGGGACTCAATTAGGGCTAACACAGCTACTAAGAACAATTACCATCACATCATTTCTCTTCCAGTTCTATAGTATCATTTGTATGCTATTAACAAATTTAAAGGCAAATTATAGCTTTATTCTTGCCAAAAGACCTTGGAGTGATAATCACTACTAGTAAGACAGATTATTACTCTCTGTTTCCTTTGCTTCTCTTCAGCTCCTACCCCTGTTTTGGTGGGGTTTTGTTTGGTTGGTTGGTTTTTGGTTTTTTTGGTATTTTGTTTTGGTTTGGCTTTTGGTTGTTGCTTAATTTCTAAAAAGGAAATTTCTGCTGTGAAAACTTACCTTTTTCCGTGATCTTTCCAATAACTTGTCCCATATTGTAAAATGTGCCTGAAAAAGAAAAAATTTGCTATGAATGACATGCAGAGGGAAGCTGGAGTTTTCAGATGTCCTTTATCTTTACATGTAAGTGTTTCGCCTGCATGTATGTATGTGCACCATATCTGTGCCTGGTGCCTGTGGAGGTCAGACAGGGCATCGAATCCCTGGAACTGGAGTTGAGGATTGTTGTGAGCCATATGGGAGGTATAAGTTGAACCCAGGTCCTCAGTAAGAACAACAAGTGCTCTTCACTACTGAGCCCTCTGTCCAGCCCCCAAAGAAAGTTCTGTAAAAGTTCCGATCTTAGCCGGGCGGTGGTGGCGCACGCCTTTAATCCCAGCACTCGGGAGGCAGAGCCAGGCGGATCTCTGTGAGTTCGAGGCCAGCCTGGGCTACCAAGTGAGTTCCAGGAAAGGCGCAAAGCTACACAGAGAAACCCTGTCTCGAAAAACCAAAAAAAAAAAAGTTCCGATCTTTACCTAGCGTTTTCAAGTCATGTGTATGTGTATATCTGTATGTGGGCATGGGCATGTGGAGGGTCCAAGAAAGCCAGAGGCCTCAGATTCGCTGCAGCTGGAGTTAGAGGTGGCTGGAGCCTCCCCGTGGAGGTGCTAAGAACCAAACTCTGGTCCTCTGCAAGAGCAGTGTGTACTATTAACTGCTGAGTCATCTCTCCAGTCCCTTTCTGTAGCTTTTTAAACCAAGTAAGAAGATACGCAGAACTAAAGTGTGATTACAAAAGTGAACAGAAGGCTTCTGGAACAACCCCCACCCTCACCACACCACACCCCCAAAAAAGTAACAACCTAGACAAGAAGCCACCAAAGAGAACTCTTAAAAACTGTGATAGGATGCTGAAGTGTAGCTCTCCATGACTGATGGCCTCTGGCAGGGGTGAAGGTGGGGAAGGCCTCAGTTTTCTTTAGGGGCTGGCCACGGGGAGTTTGACCATGCTCCAGGGAGTATATGGACAACACAGACGGGACCTGTTTTTGTTGATGTTGTTGTTTTTGTTTTGGCAGGGTGGGGGATGATATCATAAGACTCGGGGAGGCAGACCTGGGAGGACTGGGAAGTGAGTGTGCTTGGGATATATTATGTGAAATTTCCAGATAATCAATAAAAGTATTATGTTGGGAAAAACATAAAAGTGACTAGCAGAAGGAACTGCACAGAGCCCTTATTTCGTTCGGCTGGGACATGCCGTTTTCCTTCGCTGTCCTACTACATCACGTCTATCACTGAGAGCTTCTTTCTAATGGGAAGCAAAAACTGTGCCCCCGCTTTCCCCAAGACTACAGTGCTTTCCCGAACTAGCCTATCTGACCCTGCTAGAGGTCATCCTCCCAATCACACAATCCATCACAGGGGTGTCACAGGAACCGCCTGCAATGGTGTGATCCTGAAATGACAGGCCCGTGCGTGACTCCGAGAAATCACACCATCAAAGAACGAGCAGAAAGTTCACGGATGGTGACAGGGAGGTACAGAGGTGGTCCGTGACCACTTCACACAAAATGAGCTCAGAAAGTCTATACTAAAAGGCAGAATCATCCACTATCCACATGCAAACCCTTCTACAGCCAGCATGGTGTGCCGAAGAGGAAGACCTAACCCTCCTGAGGCAGAAGGGAGAGCTGGAGAGGAGAACGCAGCCTGGGACGGAGACAGAGCAGACGGAGGAGGGAGTGGCCTGCCGTAAGGCCAGCAAGGCAAGCAGGGTAGACCCCGCAGGACTTAGTGACACAGGACAGAGTTGGGTTGTTTGAGGGAGACCACTGGAGAGTTGGGGCAGGAATTATACAATCTGTATATGGTGCACACTTGTAATCCCAGCTTTCAAAGGCAGGAGGGTCAGAAGACCAAGCTCACCTTAATCTACACAGTGACTTCAAGGTGAGCCTGGACTACAGGAGACATTGTCTCAAAAAAAAAAAAAGAAAGAAAGAAAGAAAAGGAAACAAATATCTTTTCATTTATTTTAATATTTTTTTCATTTAAAATTTTTTAAACAAATACAGTCTAAAGTTGAACTGAAGGACAGAGGAATTATAATAGTTCAAACAATTCTGGTAGGTTGCAACATGGCTCGGAGGTTAAAAGCAGTGGCTGTTCTAAAGGAGCCGGGTTCAATTCCTAACGCCTACATGCTGGCTCATAACCATCAGTAACTCTGCTTCCACAGGATCTGGTGCCATCTTCTGGCCTCTACAGACCACACGGTGCAGATAGACATGCAGACAAAAACACTCACACACAGAAAAAGAATAATTTTTTTTGAGTGAACAAACAGCCAGGCGGTGGCGATGCACGCCTCTGATCCAGTACTTGGGAGGCAGAGGCGGGCAGATCTCTGAGCACAAGGCCAGCTTGGTCTACAGAGTGAGTTCCAGGACAGCCGGGTACACACAGAGAAAGAAACCTTGTCTCGAAAAACCCAGAAAGGAAAAAAGTAAACAAACAGATGGTTCTGACTACAAATTAGAGGCTACACTGGAGGGTAAGGATGAAAGCAGGTCATAGTATGGAGCTGTGCAGCGGATGGGTTAGAATCAGACTGTGTTCTGAGCTAAGAGTAGAAAGGATTTGCTAACAAATGGAAGAATGAACCGAGGACTCTCTCAAATTAGCAGAAGTGGGGACAACTAGGGAAAGAAGCTTGTGTGCGGAGAAATCCAACGTGCAATGTGGGTGTCATCACACTGGTGAGAGCGGATTCCTGATTCTGTCCTACTGTCCAGCCCTTTCTATACCACAGTCTATACCGCCGCAGCTACAAACAAACAGGCTGTGAAGTCAAGATGATGCCTCCATGTTGCCATCAGCTGAAACTGTTTGAACTATTGGGATTCCTCTGCCCTTCAGTTCAACTTTAGGCTATATGGCTAAAAAAAAATGTTAAATGAAAAAATATTTAAATAAATTAGAAAACTGGACATATTAAAGGTAACAATTCTTTCCAAACTACTACAGAGGCTTAGAGAAATTCCTGCTATCATTCCAAAAAGATTACACTAAAGTTAAATGAAGTACAAAGGAATTACAGTAGTTAAATTTTTATGTGAATACACACACACACACACACACACACACACACACACACACACACACACACACAGAGCTCACAAAAGGAATTCCATGTGGCTCTTCCAAATGTCCTTAGAGTAGGCTGTTTCTCCGACTTACTCCTCCTCCGCCCGTTACTGCCATCCCGCTCCCACTTAAACCATCCCTCCCATTCCTGCCCTCTTCTCCTTCCCATCATGTGTTTACAGCCCCTCTTCCTTTAAGATCCTTCTTCCCACTCCACCACCGTCCCCCACTCCCAGCTGAGCGATTGATAGCTGCAGGGGAGGTAGAGTCAATTTCCTTTTAGGGTGGGGCCCTGGTAAGTCTACCACACTCTAATGGGTGACCTCAGACCCATGAGAACATGGGTGGTACAAACTGGACCCGGTGGGAAATACAAAAAAGGATGACACAGAGTTGGAAAAGAGTAGAAAATAATGGATCTGAGAGGACTCAGGGGAGGAGGGAGGGTAAATATGACCAAAATACATTGTATACGTGAAGTATTACTAAAATTAATTAATAAAAACATATTGGCAAGTATCATGACACATGCCTTTAATCTCAGCACTTTGGAAGAGAAGCAAATGGATACCTGTGAGATCAAGGCCAAGCTAGTCTACATAGTGAGTTCCAGAATATCCAGAGTATGGAGAGAGCCTGCCTCAAACAAACAACAAATATATTGAAAAAACAAAAACAAAAAGGCCATTTTGACAAAGAACAATAAAATGGAACAAATTATTCTACCCTATTTGGTGCCCTATTTATAGCTACAATAACTAACACTGTGGGCATGGAAGAGAGATGGGTACATGTGATCAGTGGAACGGAAATGAAACCCCAGAAGCAGCCCACCCAGCAGATTTTCCTACAGCCGTGTCTATACCCTGACTGTATTACCACTGAAGAAACCAGACACAGGTGCATGACACCTATTCTTTCTTATAACAAAATTACCACAAAATGCTACTTTGGAAAATTAAAAATACTATCTCAGTTTGATTCCTTGAATGAACCTTTGCTCCTGAATAAATCTGCTTTACATTATAAAGGAGCTTGCAAAATTATTAGTAGAACCCAAGGAAAAGGAAAATGCATGTTCTTCAAATTTATGTAAAATCAAGTCTAGAATCAGCCCATCCCCAAACTAGAAGCCATGGCACTTCGGCTTTACTTACTCTCAAGTGGGTGGGTAAAGAGAGGCCCTGAAATCTTCGTATGAGGTTCGGCTGCGGGGACGGAAGGTTGTGGACCGCTGACACTTCGAACTGGAAACAAACACTAGTTCTTGGGATAAGAGGGCCTTCACTCACATCAATGAAGTCTCCAATCCTGGTTTTATACAAAAATAAATAAATAAGAAGCACTAATATCAAATCACAGTAGCCAAAAAAAAAACCTACTTCTCCTTCCTGCTGGATCTCAATAAAAACAATCTGCCCAATCCATCTGTAACAACCCCGACATACAATGCCAAGAGAAGAAACTGGAAATTGGGAGAGAAATCTCTTTCTTAATTAGAATTCATATAAATATAAAGGATTTTGAGAGTTATGGAATGCATCATGTCATCAATCAAGCACATCCAACTTGTCTAAGACTGACAACCTACAGCCTTACAATAACCCACAGTAACCAAGTCTACAATTCGGTATGCAGGACGGACTGAATGCAGAAAAAAAGGACTGTCTCCAGAAGAAAAAACACCCTGGGGCTTTGGAACTGGGGAAAAGGCACAGAGTTATAACAGCACTTGATGTGCAAGCCTAAAGACCTGAGTTCGATACTCAGCACCCACACAAAAGCCAAGCATAGCTACACATGCCTCTAACTCCCGTTACATGAGGGGCAGGGACAGATGATCCCAGGACTGCACTTGCTGGCCAGTGTAGCTGAAGCTACAAGCTTCCTGTTCAGTGAGAGCCTTTTCTCAGGGGATAAGGCAGAGAGCACCAGAGGACCCTCGGTGTCCACCTCTGAAAGAGTTTGCGCCGTGAGCGCCTCTTCTCTCCCCTCTCTCCTCTCTCCTTCTCTCCCCACATCCCACTCTGGAAACTGCTCCCCATGGGAAACCATCAACATAAGCAGTAGATTTTCTTCATCTCTGCATCAAAGAATACATTCCAATTCAATTTACATGAATCATAAATAACAAATTAGCACTCACGGTTCTTCTATACACAAAACTAGCGTGTCCAATTCCTATCTGAATGTTTTGCCCAATTTCAAAATCAAAAATCTTCAACTGAATAAAAATAAATCACAAAATCACATGTGGTAGCATATGCCTGTAATTCCAGCACTCAGAAGGCTGAAGCAGGAGCATCACATATTTAAGGCCAGTTTATAGGAGACCCTGTCTCATGCGAACACAGAAAGGTAAAAAAAAAAGCATAAAATGAAAAAGACAAACCACAACTGTCGCTGGAGATCATGTGATCTCTAGGTTGCCACGTGAATACTACCAAAGCAACAGAGTGAGGTGATGCTAGCACGACACAGTAGACAAGCATCTCCTCTGGCCAACACACTGCCCCAGGGTAACAAAGCCAGGCTCACTGTAGCATAGCCACCCAACTGTAGACTCTTACCTGTGTAACTTGACTATTCTCTCGGGATTCTGAGATGCCTTCTCTTCTATGAACTCCACTTTATACCTGAGAAGTACACAAAAAGAAAAAAAAAAGTCAAACCCTAAAGATGCCTCGTTTCCACTTCAGCTGCAGTGGTTGTTTCAGCTGGAGCTTCCTACTCCTCACTCCCCCCTCAGGCTAGATCCCACAGCTCCACCAAATAGATCCCACGGCTCCACCAAACGCCTCTTAGATCCCACAGCTCCACCAAACACCTCTTAGATCCCACAGCTCCACCAAACAGATCCCACGGCTCCACCAAACGCCTCTTAGATCCCACAGCTCCACCAAACACCTCTTAGATCCCACAGCTCCACCAAATAGATCCCACGGTTCTACCAAACGCCTCTTAGATCCCACAGCTCTACTAAACAGATCCTTTGGCTCCACCAAACGCCTCTTAGATCCCACAGCTCCACCAAACAGATCCCACAGCTCCACCAAACGCCTCTCACTAAATCCACAGCACCTGATCGTTGTCAGTGGCCACTTCTGATCCTTCACTCTGCTCATCTCCACTTCTCGAAGCATTCTTTCCACGGGCCTCAGTGACGTGCCCAGCTGCCTGCTAAGCTAGCTCTTCAGCCACCCTCCATTTCCCTTTCTCTTTTTTTTTTTTTTTTTTTTTTTTTTTTTTGGTTTTTCGAGACAGGGTTTCTCTGTGTAGCTTTGCGCCTTTCCTGGAACTCGCTTTGGAGACCAGGCTGGCCTCGAACTCACAGAGATCCGCCTGCCTCTGCCTCCCGAGTGCTGGGATTAAAGGCGTGCGCCACCACCGCCCGGCTTGTTTCCCTTTCTCTTAAGGACAGTCTGTCCTAGACCCTCATTTTCACGTAAGCATCTGCCTGAAAGCAGCTTCTTGACTTACAAGTGCTTCCACTGATGCAGTTAAATCTCCCACACCTCTGCCCTCAATCCATGTCTCTCTTCTGCACTGGAGATCCAACACAAACACTTTAGACCACCAGTCACCAAACAGAACAACAAAAAGTCTCCTTCTTTTCTAATTTAAACATGTTTTTCATGAATTTCCTATCTGAATATGATAATACAACTGTTCATGTGTCTAAGTGAAAAACCAAAGAGATTTCCTTGACTCTTCTAACACCATACCCTGTATCCATTGCACCACTAAGTCCTACCAATTCTAATGCCTGAAGTCTCTGAGCTTACCCAGCTCTGTCAGTATAACTAATTAATACACATGCAGAACTCGAAACCCAGGTAAAAGCTTACTAAGAACTTGTCCATCTATCCTCAAGTGTCAAGTAGGTATCAAGGGAGCATGAACATGAGGTCATGAATTGTGGGTGCAGTGGGGAGCACTGACTTACACCTGCCATCCTTTTTCCACCGGACACCCAGTGCAGATGGAGGGGTGAATTCCCCTGAATATGTGTCTGCCCTAACCCTCCTGAATGAGATGCTCTTGTGTCTGTGAGGCAAAGCCAATGTTGGTACCTTCCTTTCTCTCAGAATAGAAGGCCAAGTCACTAAATGACTTTCCACAGTCCACCATTCCTGGGCTCTTAAACTTATCCAGAACTATCCCCCTTCTTCCCATCACACAAAGATTAGATACCAATTTCCCAAAGCTCCTTACAGAATGACGGTTGAGTGGAAAAAAGGAAAATTCCACCAAACACAGGATGGAAGCTAAAAGCACACTGTGAGTAACACAGCTATGGAGCACTTAGATTCGGGAAGTAACAGAGAACTATGCCCTACATGTAAATGCACACTGGACTCTGAGCATTTGGGACTGGAAATATAAAATCTTTAGCAGCTTTGATACTGATCATACGTTAAATTAACACTTTAGTATCACTGATTTTCTTTTAACATTTTTAATGTAGCTACTAGAAAAGTTAATAAAATTAGATAAACAGTTTAATCATATTTCTATTGGAAACTGTGTGCCTCGACTTTTGTCAGGAAAGAAGCTGATAAGTTCTGATAACCCAAGAATTGTCTTACAGCATCAATGCTATAGGATGGTTTGACCTATGGTACTAGGTACTAGCTATACTTTAGTTCAGTTAAACAGTACATTAGTACAATGTGTACTGAATGAGGATATGCTAAAAGCATTTCACAGGAAAGGGCTTCACGGTCAATCCCTTGGAAAACACTGTCTTCTACCCTTTGGGAGGCCTTGTCTTGCAACTGGGCTAACTGTGGATTTTTCACTTCTGCATTAATTAATGTCTCTGGAAGACACTACGAGGTATACTGCTTTGCAAAAGATGCCAAGCTAGAGAATAAGTTGAAGAGTCTATATCCCTGTGAGAGTCTGTGAGTCCACAGCTACACACCTAAGGCAATTCTAATCCACGCCCTTTAATGATTCCAGGTATACACTGCGGCTTTAGGCTACAATGTCTTCTGTTTCAACACAGATCTCCCTTTCCAGTCACTGTGACGTTTCTTAGTACATGAATACCTAGATTCAGTTTGCTCTTAACAGCACAAGCAGAAGGGAAACTACAAATTTTAAGGGGAAAAGAGACTTGACAAGCCAAGCAGGAACTGAAATGTTGAAAAATCCATCAGACGGCTATTTCACACCTAAATGAATAAGTATTGTCCAAACTACTTGTGTGTTCAGTCTTAACCTTTTTCACTTGGAGTAGAAGAACAAGAGGAAAAGGCTGCCACGTGCCCAAAACAATACCGTTGTTTAGCACAGGTTCTCACTTCAGAGTGGAGCAAAAGCGGAATCACACTACCTCGATAAAGAGAAGGGCTGGCCTAAAAACAGAAACTACAACACAGTGAGGAAATCACTTTCCTCAGGGACTCAGCAATGAGATGAACACAGACAACACAGAAAGAAAAACGTGATAAAGAAAAAGAAATCTTAGGGCAAAAAGTAAACTTAAATGAAGCCTTATGTACATCAAATATAAAAACTCCTGCTGAGCATGGAAGTGTAAGAGGCCCACAACCCCAGGTGTTCCAAACATAAAGACAGGAAAATGAGAACTTCCAAGTCTGCCTGCACAACTTAGTGAGACCGTGTCTCAAAATCAGAAGTAAAAGGGGGGCTGGAAATACAGCTCAGTGGTAGAATACCTGCTAGGAAGCACAAGGCCCAAGGTTCACCCCAGTACCTGAGAAGAATATATGTAAGGAAAATAAAGTGACAACATTACTGAAAAGCTGAGTTTTCCTCGTTACATGCTATTCTTGAGAGAACATAGCCAATGCTTACTTGTTATGTTGAAATATTTCTAATGCCACTTTTGCATCAACCTCCAGAGTTTCGAAGGGAAGGTCCCTATAAATTAGAACATGGGCATCTTTTGTGAAAGAACGCAGGTTCTCCTGAAAAACAGAACTAACCATCAGTACCCACTCACCCAGAAGCGTTTCTCCTTAGGTCAGAAAGACAAAACCGTACACTCAGTGCTGCAGATCCAAATTTACAAGGAGGAAAAACTAATTTGTTAGGACATTTTTCATTCACGGTGTTTGAGGATGTAGACTACACACATTCTTTCAATTTCACAACTAAAACACTTGTAAGATATTATACTAGTCAGTAAAAACTGTTGAAGATAAATCTGCAGAGAAAATTTTAGCATTTCACCCAAAATATACAAATAAATGTTTACTAAAATTATAACAGCAAGTAAAAACATTCATAAGCAGTGAGACATAGAAGATGCATACGGTGTACACATGACTAAAACTATGTTCCATAAATGCATGAGAAAAATATCATTGTTTTCATCCCTCAGTTTCACTGGTCAGGGAGTGTCAGCAAATCCCTGGCCAATCAGGACTGCAGTCAGTTGAGGGTTTGTTACATATGTCACTGCTATTTGGGTCAGATTTTCATGTCTGATTCTTTAGTTAAACTCCCTCTTTTTTAAAAAAAAAAAAAAAAAAAAAAAAGGTTATTTACTTTATTTGTCTGTCTGTATGTGCACGTGCCCACAGAAGCCAGGAGAGGGTGTCAGGTCTATTAGAACTGGAGTTACATGCACTTGGGAGCTGCCTGATGTAGGAACAGAACCCGGGTCCACAGTGAAAACAGCAAGAGCTCTTTTCATTGCCTGGCTATCTCTCCAGCCTCCTCTCCCTCTTGATATGACTCCTGCATATACAGAACTCCTACTGTATGCAAAAGACTAAAATAGTGTAAGGTGGTAGTTTTCAAACTCTGCTCTAGGAATCCAGGTCCCCTAACACAACATTAACCAACATTAACAAGTTAAGCTCACACATCCACATCCACATGAATATGATATGTGTGTGTGTATAATATATGTGTGTGTGTATAATATATATGTACTCAATGTGTGTGTCTGTGTGTCTGTGTAGTGGGTGGTAGATGTGAACCTGCTGGGGTGGGGGATACATGCTGAGGCCAGAAGAGAACATCAGTTATCAGGTGTCCTGCTCTATCACTCTCTACCTTATTCCCATTAAACAGTGTCGGTCACAGGACCTGAAGCTAGGCTGGTGATCAGCAAATCCCCAACGATCCTCCCCTCTCTGCTCCAACACCCCCAACAGTGCAAGGGGTTACAAGTAGGTGCAGTCACACTCGGCTTTTTTCATGGGTACTAGAGATTTGAACTCAGATCCTCATGCTGTCACAGCATCTTAATTACAGAAGTTTGATTGCTGTGATAAAGCACCATGACCACAAGCGTGGTCATGGAGGAGGAAAGTTTATTTCCTTCATACTTCCACATCATGACCCACCATCTAAGGGGGAGTTGATGCAGAGGCCATGGAGTAGAACTGCTTAATGGCCTGCTTCCATGGCTTGCTCAGCCGACCTTACGCACCCAGGACCACCAGCCCAGGGATAGCACCACCCACAATGGACTGGGCCCTCCCACATCAATCACTAATTAAGAAAACTCTATACAGAGTTGGCCACAGGCCAATCTGGTGGGGACACTTTCTCAGCTGAAGTTCATTCTTCCCCTAGGACTCTAGCTTCTGTCAAGTTGACAGAAGCTAGACAGTACACACAGCTAGTGTTCTTACTAAGCCATCTCTCCAGCCCAGCTTCTGTATCTTACATTCTGGACGTCCTAAAACTACCACCTTAAGAAAGGCACCACAAAAGCTAGGCATGGTGGCGCACACCTTTAATCCCAGCACTCAGGAGGCAGGGGCAAGCCGATCTCTGAGAGTCTGAGGTCAACTGATCTACATAGTTAGTTCCAGGCCAGCCAGGCTATACTGTAAGACTCTGTCTCATGGGGAAACAAAGAAAAAATAAGTAAACAAACAAAAAACAGAAAGTCAAGCAAGAATAAAACTACAAAATGTCTGACTTCACTATTGTGAATATCCTAATCCAAACATATGTCACAAGTAAGCTGAAAAATCACCAACAGATATAGAATAATAGAGAAAGCATGGATGGGCAGATGACAGATTGGTGACTGACAGGCACATAGATAATAAATACTCATAGAGAGAGGTTCTCTTAAGTGTCTTCAATGTGCAGTACCATTCAGTAGTATTAACAGTACTATTTTATCAGAGTATAACACACATTCAAAAAATAATACTCCAAAGAGTATACTTACTTTCGTTGGCATCCATTCATCCAATCTCTTATCCAAAATGACATCGTAGCAGAAGGCCCCAGCAATTACTGTAAATCCAACAGCAAGGAAAAAGAAAAAGGAACACAAATCTGTTAGGGCAAGAAGTTTCTAATCTACAGCAATTGATTAGCTAGGTCATAGAAGGCAATCGCCCCAAACTCTACAAATTATAAAACTATTTTCATACCCCAGGTGCATTGTAGGGCATCATAAAACTCCCCCTATCAAAAACACCAGTTCATCTTTTGTCAATCCAAACAGCATCATTTTTTCTAAACATTCACACTTTCTTCAGGAATATTATACTATAGGGATCTCAAATGGATGCTGGATACAAAACTACAAAGGGATAACACTTAAGTAGATGTATGACTAAACACACAGGAAATGCCCAGTTTCTTCATAATAGCTTAGATATCTTCATTTTTTTATTTTTTGTTCTTAGAACAAAAATCATTATCTGAGCTTCTTTCATGTATTTTGGCACACACACATACACAAACACACATACACATATATATTAGTTTCACACATTGCTGCTATACATAATGATGAGTAATTCTGATTTTAACATGGCTAGATTCTTATCCTTACACCTCATCTATGTGGTACCCCTCTGGTCATGTTTCTGAAGAATGGAACCACCCTTAAGCACAGTTCTTCTCAGCAGCCTACTCATCTTTCCATTTCCTCACCCTCCCACAAATTCAATTCAGAAACAGTTTTTAAAAAAAAAAAAAAGAAAGAAAGAAAAAAAAGAACACTATGACAGTGTAATTCTTTAACATTTGTATTCAAGAGTAACTAATTTTGTGTTAATTACTGATATCATATTACTTCACATTTCATCATACAGAGTAATTTTATTACCTACAATACATGAAGCACGTGCACAGTCTTTATACTAGATAAAATCAGAAATAAACTCTGTACATAATCAAAAATAAATACCAAAATATTCACAGATCTTAAAAGTATAAATAGTGATGTATATATTACCAGGAACTTCTGGTGCTCTGACCAAGCTGACCACATAATCATCTTTGAATGCCCTTTCTACTACACAGCCCATCATCATGGCACAGGAACGCCAATAAGCCTAAAGAAAGAAACATACACATAAATGTAACACACTAAGATTCACTCAAGTTTCTACATTATTAAAACTGAAATCAACTCTGGCTTAGCACATATTTTTCCAATACCTGTCCATTCACCCAGAGCAATTATGCCATTAATACAATCAAAATCTATTGTGCTTTTGCCAAAATACCTAGGTTCACATCCAGACTTTACCACTTTGTAACTAGTAGCCTTAGTCAAGTTGTGGATGCTCTCTTTATCATTTGTTCATGGCAAATAGGAAGAAATGCACCTACTCTCTAGAGTTTATATGAGACAAAATGAACACCTATAAATTACTTAAACCAGTACCTCATGCATAATAGACACTCAGTGTTACTACTACTACTAAAGCTTCTATCATCTTCTTGTTTAAGTACATCATTTCAACAGATGTTTATCAAACACTTCCTGATGTGAAGGACTAGATCCAAAAAGGAAATTATCTCTGCATTCACAGAAGCAGGAATCTAATGCATCCAGCAATAAGATGAAAATACTGTATATAGAGACACTACCCAAGTGTTGCTAGAGCCTAAAGAATTTTGACAAGCAGAGACCTGGTAGGTTCCACAGGCAGATGTCATTTTAACTGAACCACAGAACATAAACAGAATTTTAAAGGGGAAAGAAAGTGATCTGCATTGAAGGAAGAGCACTGGCAAACGCAGGCAGGATAATAAAGTATAAATCATTAGTCACCAAGTACTTTCATGTGGCCAGAGCAAGGAAGAGGGGAAAAGATCCAGTAGGAGGTAAGACAGAGAGCAGGCTGGAGGCACAACATGCAAGTCCCAGAAAGCTATGTTAACTCTACCATGCAGGCAAGTTCTTCACAGATAAATGACATGACCCCCAAAAAGTCACTAATAAAACTTAATAGAACTGTAAAGGGTAATGTTTTAAGTAGTAAAAATAAGGGAGTTGGGGGTGGAACAGAGTCAAAAAGTTACTAAAATCATCCACAGAAGATGGTCTGATTTCAGACCAAATTCAAGTTATATCAGTAGGAGTGGAACTCCCAATTATATAGAGGGTTATCAAAAGTTATAAGCATAAATGACATGCCCTATAGTTTTCTCAATCCAAAATACAGACAAGTTGATACCACTAGTATGTTGAGCTACAAAAATACCTAAGCTGCCCAGTAAAATACTATCTAGTAGATACCACATATGCGTTTGGCCATATTTTTAGATTTTATACTTCATAGAACATAAGTTTGATTTAAAAGGAGAAGAAAAAAACTGGAGGAGGCAGGAAAATACCTTATTCACTTCTGATGGGTCAGGGTCTTTGAAGGTAAGAAATTTAATCTCACAGGACTTGGTCAAAGGCTTATACATGCCCCATGGTTGTCCGTCCACAAGAGCCAAGATGGATTTCCTGCAGTACCACTCACTTAAATCTAGGAAAACAAAATTGATTGGAGATCTAAATCTAACAAAATCCAAAGTGAAAAGCTCCATGTTTAAGTGCTACATTCTGAGACAATGAAAATCAAAATTCTGCCAATTATTCTTGCAGAAATACTATCTATTATACATGACAAATTTAAAAAGAAAACATCAACACACAGAGACATTATTAACCAATTACCCAAACCTTTAACAAAATTTATTAAAGCTAAGTGTAATCTTAAGTTAATTTGCCAGTTAATAAAATAATCTTCAAAGACCTATCATTAAATATTCAAAGAGAAACAACATGGACACATGGCTTGATTCATACACAAGTCAGAAGAAAAGGAAAATATATCTACACTCACATAAATCTGTTTAAATTATCCTTGAGTCTTGCTCCCAAACCACCTCTTTCTGCCATTATTCCATTACACAGACATTTCAAACTAAATAATGCAATTACCATTGTAAGAGTATAAATGTGAATTCACATGTAAACCAGTCACCTCTCATCTGTTCCATTGCCCTACCCTAAGAAATTCTAATCCTGATCACACATTTTACACATAATCACAAAAATGATCAAACTAGATTCTAACACATAAACTAGTACAAAAGTTCCATAACCAGGGTCTTAGGGGTCAAGATGAGGATGGCTCAGAAACTTCACCTCTGGAGACAGTATGTATAGAGCTCCATTCTGGCCTTAGGTTTGCCTTACCCTCCTCTGTAATCTCCTACTGTCTACCACAGCACAGGCTAAGAAATACATGAAAATCAAATGACTAATTATCATCAGTGCTTGTTTAAGTGTCAAGAGTAGAGGGAGATTGAGTACACATGCCTTAAGCCAGTTTCAGCTGGCAACTAATCCTGTCAGTTACTTAAATGGTATTATTACTGAGTCTCTTAAAGTTTAAACTACACAGTCAATCATTCCTATCTACTATTTGGGAGATATTTAAATTTAAATATCATATCTATCAAAGCCCTACCCAAATGATTTAGCCCCTTCATTTCCACACCAAATCATATGTAAGCCCAAGGATCTCTCTAACAGTACGTACAAAACAATTAACTTTAACATTCACTGCACTTAACATTTCCATTCACACATTTAGTACCTATACTAAACAAAACCACAACACAAGAGGCAAAGAGCAAGCAGATGAGCATTATATTCGGCTAGAAAAGAAAAAGCTAAAAAGGAAAAGGTAGGAAAAAACAAAAACTCAAAACACTTTAATGAGACGTCAGGACAAATGCCTCCAGTACATGGAAAGAGAGTTTCACCAGCACCAAGCACCCTAAGCTTAGTCATAGTCAAGCAAACTTGGAGACAACCTGTACCTCACAGAAATGCTGCAACATCCACAGTGCCCACAAAGTAAAAGGGCCCGTGAACGACAATAAAGCGCCAAGTAAATTCTATAGCTTCACAAAGCAACTACAGGATTTTCTCCTCTGTGGTGTTCTACACAGCTCGTGTAAAATGATCAAAACTGTACGCTGATTCTGCTACTTACGCATGGCACAACTGTAGGGAGTTGAAATGTTTTTATTCATCACGAAGACAGTGCCAGGATCAGTTTTCCCAACATGCTTAACCTCGATTTTTTCTGTTCGGGGAGTTAACGATAACTGCCTACTTTTCTCTTTATTAAAAAGATCATTCCGCATTTCTGTCAGTTCGGTGGGTGACAGCTGAGTAGCTGGCGATGTCGCTATAAATCCTAAGGGGGAAAAAATCAAAAGACTGAATAAGTAAGTAGCTTACTATGGGCCTGTAACAAGTAGAGAAACCAATAGAATTTTGCAAAACATAGGTCAAAAATTCAACCGGGGCACACTTATACCACTTTATAGCATTAATAATTTAGCTAGCATAGGCGCGCGCACCTCTGGTTTTCTCTCACATGACCACCGATCTCCTCAGTGGCGTCCCAAAACCAGGCGGGAGGAAACTACACCAGACAGTGGGAAGGAAGCAAGGTGGGAGTTGGAAAGGGTCTGGGAGGGGCCAAGAAAACTCCGGGAGAGGGGAAAGCCCATGCCCAAACTATCAATATCTGGCACGAGAAACGCTGAACTTTTCCTCCAAACCCCAAAGCAAGGGACTCGGCCAGGCCAGCACGAGTCCTCACTCCCTAGAGGAGATGGGGACGTGTTTGCAGGAGACTGGGACTCCTCCTTCCTAAAAGCCCCACAAGCGCCGCCGCCCATGCCCGCGTCCCTTCTCTTTCCCCGATTCCTGCACCCCAGACTGTCTTCCCAGGCTGGGAACGCAAACACTCACTGCAGCGGGTCCCGCCGCCCGGGCAGGGCCGCCAAAGCAGCAGCCTTCCGACCGCAGTAGCCATGGCCTCCAGGGGAGTCAGGAGAGCCTCTGCGCCCGGGTCCTTCTCTTCCCGCTTCCCCCCGGAAACCAGGAACGCGCCGCTGTGGTTCCGTGGAACCGCTCAGTTCCGGACCCGGCGCTGAGGCGGCCCGGCGCCACACGGGGGCGCGTTCGCGCTTCTCTGAGGGTTAATCAATCACCCTTGGTCACAGAGCAGGGAATGTTCTCCAAGGTGCAGGGACCAGCCGGTGCTAGGCTGCGGAGGAGAAACAGAGATGTCTCCTGTACAGGAGAGTCACACCCGCGCCGAGGGTTCCAGTTTCCGGGCAGAAAAGTTAGGGGAGGACTTTCTGCTTTGCTTTTTTAACAGTCTGGCTCATCACCCGGGATACAACTCTAGAGAGTGGAATAAAGAGAGAGTTTTAAAGCAAGGGTGAGTTTTTAGATGGGCTGCAGTGGGTCTGTGTCTGGTTTTTACCATTTAATAGACCAGGTTTCTGTAGTCTTGGAAACACATCACGTTGATTTTTGGAGAGATCTCCTAGAACTCTTTGCGAATGATCTAGGCAAGTTTGCATGGAGTCCCTAATGAGAGCGGAGTAAACTGGAATTTGAGTCTCATCTGTGCATGGATCCCCAAAACGCAAACCGTACTGCCCGGTTGGTTCTCAGCAAATATTTGTTATGACTGTGCATTCAGAAACACCGCTGCGTCTAACGCCTTTGTGGTGCAGCGTGTTACTGTTGAGACAGCATTCTATACTTATGCAAAGCTGTACCGATATAGTTTTCATAAATTTAGCCAGGGACTTCCACATGACCTCTTCTTTTAAACTAGCACCACGAGGTGCAAGTGTTAGCTGGGACACAATACTATGCCTTAGCCACAACAAATGTGCTGTGTCCTTGGCCCAAATAATGCGTTTTTACAACTGCATAGGGAAAGTATTAAGACCTGTCCTCAACCTTAAGGTAAGTGTGAATTCAACCATTTTATGGGGCTATCTCTCATGTAATACCCTGATCCGTCGGGGATGGTTGATGCAAGCCTGCCATCCCTCCTCAACGAGGCTCGGCAGGGGGACCAGAGCAGGAGGAGCTGGAGCTGTTTGACAGACCTTTTCTCATCCACAACAAAAATTTTAATTCAAACCTGGAAAAGTGTGCTCATGCGTGTTACTTCCTTAAATGGACTATGGTTTCCTGGAAGCTTTCCGTTTCACCAGCTTTTTCGAAACTATGTCCATTTAACCTCATCTAGAAAAGCTCAGGTTTGAACTCAGAGATCCACTTACCTCTGCCTCCTGGGTGTTGGGACTAAAGGCATGTGCCACCACACTCGTTAATGAGGCTCTTATTGCCTAAATTTAGGACAGTTTCTCTCCACCACCTCCCATAGGCTCATAGGCTAATTGGCCCCCAGAGGCTCATAGGGAGTGGCACTATTAGGAGATGGTGGCCTTGATGGAGGAAGTGTGTCACTGTGTCGGTGGGCTTTGAGGTCACGTCTATGCTCAAGCTACGCCCAGTGTCTTAGTTCACTTCCTGTTGCCTGAGCAAGATATAGAACTCTCAGCTCCTTTTCCAGCGCCATCTCTGCCTGCAGGCCACCATGTCCCACCGTGATGATGATGGACTGAACCTCTGAACTGTAAGCAAGATACCCCAATTAAATATTCTCCTTTATAAGAGTTGCCATGGCATGGTGTCTCTCCACAGCAATAGAAACCCTAACTAAGACACCCCCTTTCATTATTTTTTTAATTTAGCATACAAAGTATTGGGTTTGTTACAGTAATTTCATGTCATTAAACATTTCCAGTTGTTCCCTTCCTGTGCCCGACTTGCTGATTCCTTCCCTCAGATTGCCCACTCTTGGATAACAATGGGTTTCTAATCTGTGTGTTAGTAGGGTCCTCTGAGGAACAGATACAAAGGCAGAGTTCAGTATGCGAGGATTTTAGTAACAAAAAGAATTATGATAAGGAATTAAGATATACATACTAAAAGCACCAAGTCCATGGTAATGTTCAAAATTAAATGACAGTAGGGAATGAAGGAAACAAATTCTTTACCAATAATAAAAAAAAAAGCATCGCCCAGCTTCTTTCTTGAAACAGGATATCTCTCTGGGCTGGAACTCACCAAATAATCAGGTTGTCTTGCTATCTAGTCCCAGGAATCCAAATCTGCTTCCCAATGCTACAATTACAAAGGTGTGCTTCCAAGCCTACCTTTTGTACATGGGTTCTAGGGCTCAAAGTCAGCTGCTGGGGGTTGCATGTCAATCACTTTACTGATTGAGTTACCTCTCTAGTCCTGAAGTTCAGCTAGCTAATCTTAAGTATCACTTACTAACCACAGAGCAATAGATGTCCCTTTTCAGTGGGGCAAATGTTGTGTGCTATCACCAAGGCCTTTGATTTTGTTTTTCAAAAATTTGTATTATTAATCCCAGCATTTGGTTTTATATTTCAAATTATTAAACATTTGTTTCAATGAAAAAAAATTTAGCCGGGCGGTGGTGGCGCACGCCTTTAATCCCAGCACTCAAGAGGCAGAGCCAGGCGGATCTCTGTGAGTTCGAGGCCAGCCTGGTCTCCAAAGCGAGTTCTAGGAAAGGCGCAAAGCTACACAGAGAAACCCTGTCTCGAAAAACCAAAAAAAAAAAAAAAAAATTTAAAACTCTTAGAAGTGCATTGTGAAGCATTTTCATCCCAGCTCTTTTTACACGCGTGCACACACGCGCGCACACACAAAATCCTGAAGCTTCTCTAAACTAAGCCAAATATATGTCTTTATTCTCACTCTTTTGATCCCAATGCAACACACCAAACATTTTCTGTGACTGGAAAAACTGTATAGTGTATGTCAGCGGAGTCCATAGAGGAACAAGATTCAGCATACAACTGGGAAAAGGCAGAGTTCAGTATGCCAAGATTTCAGTCAGGGGAAATGTCTGTGTCTTAGGGTTTCTATTACCATGATGAAAGATGACCAGAAGCAACTTACAACTCTCAGCTCACACTCCATCACTACAGGAAGTCAAGGCAGGAATCTGAAGGCAGGTGCTGAAGCAGACGCCATGGAGGAGTGATGCACAGTGGCTTATTTGCCATAGATTTCTCAGTTTGCTTTCTTATATTCCCGGGACCACTTCTCCAGGAGTGGGACCACTGGAAATGGGCTGAGCTCTGCCACATCCATCAATTATCAGGAAAACACCCCCCATAGACTTGCCTGACAGCCAGCTTATAGAGGCCTTTCCTCAATTGAGGTTACCTCTTCTAGAAAACCCTGGTTTGTATCAAGTTGGCAAAAAACTAACCAGGACAGCCTGTGAAGGTAATAAACAAGCAGCCATGTAAGGCTGACCACACATAAGGCTGACCACACATTTCCTTCAAAGGAAGGAAAATTAACTAGACATATTTTTGGCCACCCAGGTAGTCTAAAGATCTGTCAGAACCATCATGGAACCTTGAGTCCATGAGTCGTGGGAGCTAGCTTGCCTCAGTATCCCTTCCACGTTCAGTGTTTTACTGGGAGCAGCTCCCGAGAAGTGGAGACTGACTGTAGCCTCAGAGTACACATGGTGATGGGTTTTAGAATTCATTAGAAGGCCGAGGATCAGCCACAGTACCTGTAAGGTGGGGGGGGGGGGCAGGTCTCTGAGGCACATGAATTGAGTTACAAAATCTAGTAATTTATGGAGCAGTTGATACGCATTTTACAGGCCCTAAATAACACACACACACACACACACACACACACACACACACACACACACACACTTTTACCTTTTTCTTTTCATCGAGACTCTATTTCTTTATTTCTAATTCCCTCTCTGCTGATGCATGACCCCAAGAAGTTAAATTGTATGGTTCCTCTACTATGTTTCTTTATCAACTCTTTATGCACTGACTTGGCTATGAACCTGTCTATGTGTTAGATGTTCCTGGAAAGAGAAAAGACTGTTGAATGTAAAAATGTACACAAAGCCAGGGACATAGCTGAGTAGTAGAATGCTTGCCTACCATGCACATAGCTCTGGGTTTGATCCCAGCACTGCAAAAAAGATAAAAATAAAAATAAAAAATAGAACAAAGATGTACAATACAATTGATTCCTTCAATTATCATTCCTGTTTTCACCACCCCTATTCTTCCTTAAGCATAAGAAAATCTTATCAGTTCTTTCCTAACATAAAGAGGGAATCAGGGATATAAACCAACAAGGTATAGCAATTCTTGTAGATAATATTTTTTCTGAAAAAGATAGACAATAATGTTATACATGTATGTATGTTTTTCTAGCCTTCATTCTTAAACAAAAATAATGTTTATTTAAAATGATGATGATTCAATAATTGCTGAAAATTACAAATAAAATCACAAGTTGGAGAGATAATGCAGATAATTTATTCCACTCCTCCCCCTCAGTTAGCAGCCAGAGAAAGTGAATCATAAAGGGACTGGTATTTGGCTCAAGGTCATCCAGAATGCTAGTGTGGCATCTGGGTTTCTTGGAAACACTAGAGTATGCCAAAAATGCTAGGACTCCTGAAGCATGTGGCATGTGGTCCTTAAACCATTCAGAATTTTATCCCAGTGTGTGACAGCCACATAAAAATCCTACACTTCATAGTTTGGAGGGAACATCACAAGGATTCCCACTCCCATTTCTTTAAGATTTCAAAGATGTACGAATTTGTTAAACATATGTTCATAGGAATTTTCTTTGAAAGAAAGAGACAAATATGTTCCCTTGAGATGGGAACCCTCATCCTTCTTCAGATGGAGAAAGCCAATTAGACCAATCACAATACAAGCTCATATAAAGTTTTAGGATGAAAATGCATGGGTCCTGGAGAATAGAGTCAGAATTGGTTAGAGTTTCTTTTCTTTTTAATGAGTGCATGTGTTGTTTGAATCTTGTATGGTCTTTTAATAAAAATCCCAGAGCCAGATATCAGGGTGAAAGCTGGAAGATCAGAGAAACAGAACCACCAGCCACTAGTTCTTAACTCTATAAATCCTCAGTCTAAAGAAAGTGCCTGTTTCCTCACACTTTATATACCTTTCTCTGCCCAGCCATGTCACTTCCGGGTTTTAAAGGCGTGTGTGCTTCCCAGTACTGGGATTAAAGGCCTGTGTGCTTTCCAAGCAAAAGCATGAGATCTCAAGTGCTGGGATTAAAGGTGTGTGCCTGGCTCTGTTTCCAGTATGGCCTTGAACTCACAGAGATCCACATGGATCTCTGCCTCTCAAGTGATAGGATTAAGTGTGTGTGCCACCACTACCTGACCTGTATGTCTAATCTAGTGGCTGGCTCTGTCCTCTGATCCTCAAGGCAAGTTTTATTAGGGTACACAATATATCACCACATGCCATGTCGTGTGTGTGTGTGTGTGTGTGTGTGTGTGTGTGTGTGTGTGTGTGTGTGACATTCCTCCGAATCCCTTTATCTTAGTTTCATAAGGTACCAGTCATCAATTGTTCTTAATGCTACTGGAGTCCTATTTAAAAAGCCCTTTTTCTATGTCAGTAAACTGAATCATACTCTATAAGAATCCTTTTTTCCCTAATTATTGATAATTTCTCCTTCATTTTCTTGTTGTTTTAAATTCTTGACCCACCTTTTCTTGTTCCTAATCCCTTGACTACAACTCTCCTGCTCTCTACTCTCTCCCCACCCTGAAATTATTGGAAGGAGATTAGGGTAGAGATGGAGACATCTATCTATAAAAGAAGACAGTTTGTGGGAAGACTGGAAACCCCTGCCCACTCAACTATGTATAAGTGATAGAGAATTCATAAGAAAAGCGCACAATCTCCAAATACAGAAGTTGGGCACTGTGTGAATGACTCATAAAAGGTGAAGACTTGGGGCCTTTGAACTTCTAACCTTTCTCAGTTCTCCAATCCACCTCCAATCTTGGAAATGTTTTTATTTTTTTAAAAAAAACTGTGTCTCGCCGGGCGGTGGTGGCGCACGCCTTTAATCCCAGCACTCGGGAGGCAGAGCCAGGCGGATCTCTGTGAGTTCGAGGCCAGCCTGGTCTCCAAAGCGAGTTCCAGGAAAGGCGCAAAGCTACACAGAGAAACCCTGTCTCGAAAAACCAAAAAAAAAAAAAAAAAAAAAAAAAAAAAAAAAAAAAAAAAAAAAACTGTGTCTCTAGAAGGAGAAATAGTCTTCCCTGGAGATGAGCCGTATGTGTTTGTTTATATTGTTACATACACACACACACACACACACACACACACACATATATATATATGAATTTGAAAGAAAAAGAGGCTATGAATTTGAAAGGGGCAAAAGGTGGGACATAGATGGGGGTGGGGAGAGAAGAGGTAGAAGAGAAACGATGTAAATATATTTATATTTTTTAAATTGCAAAATAAAACCATCTCTCTTTCCACTCTTATCTAGGGGTCCCTGACCCAATTCTTTGTACTGGGACACAAGAGCCTAGAAATTCTAATAGGTGCCCTCAGGACCCTGATCCATAACTCTAACAGAGTCACAATCATCCAAAAACCACTCAAAATCACAGACTCATGAAATGTAATGTACAGAAGTATGGAAAATGAGGTATGAAAGTCTAGGCCGCATCCCAGCTCTTAGTCCTGCAATAAAATAACTGTTATTTATTAAATTGTATCTCCTTCACCCCTTCTCTCTCTCTCCTCTCTCCCCTCTCTCCCCTCTCTCCTCTCTCTCTCTCTCTCTCTCTCTCTCTCTCTCTCTCTCTCTCTCTCTCTCTCTCTCTCTCTCTCTCTCTCTTTCTCTCTCTCTGCTCCACAGTATATTTGAGATTGAGCGTTTTGCTTCAAGAAGCATCTGTCTGTCTTTCTATTTTTTCTGAAAAGATATGGGGACGTGCTTGCTCAAGAGTATATGAACTTGCCATTTTGACAGAACTTCCAAGGTGACCATTAAAGCCACTAGCGTACAAAACAAAGGAGAAAGATAGATTCACAACTATATTTTGGATAGTGTGAATGTTATCCTTAGGGAGAAGGGCATGCTTGCTGCATCTCTGAGTCTGTGCACGCTGAGGTTCAGGACCACACTTACCCAGTCGCCCACCTTCCTTGTTTCACATGCCATAGAGTTTTCAAACCCAGGCTGGCACTGACCCACTGGGGTCATCACAGAACCTGCAAACTCAGCCTCAGTCTGTTTCAAAGGGTTGTGGGCTATCTCTAGATCTCCTGGTACATTTTGCACCACACAATTACACCCCTTGACTACAATAAATACACTTAGCTGGACTAGCTTAGTGTTTTTCGCTAGAGTCCTTCTCTCTTAAGCTTGTTTTTTGGTCTTTTTCTCAAGTGGTCCACTTTGCACAGTAGCTGCCCTATAAAAATCCAAACATTAAGAACACATAGAAAGTATGAAAGCCATACTTTCCAACCTTACTTCATTCTATTGTGGAAGGTGACCCTCAGCCCAAGTTTTCGAATCTAACCACTGCACCATATATTATTTACATTATTCAAATAAGTCTCCAGGAAGTAGCAAGACAAGGAATTTGTAAGGACATGGAGAATAAAGGAGCAGTAACCCTGAGAACAATTCTCTCTGTGACAACTGTGGGAGTATTTTGATAAGTGTTGGCAGCAGGGTAAAGCATGTGATGTAGGGGAGGAACCCTTGGCATTCAAACAAGCAAATAGTTTGGCGACAATTTCTTAAATTTCTGCCGTGTTTGCAAATGCCAGTAGCAATTTCTCAGACTACAGAGTTGCTACACGTGACAGGTTCGAGAATGCTTTTCGCAATTTTCACCAAGTAATTCACCCTTTCAAATTAATAATTCCATGAACCCTTTGAATAATTGGAACTATTAAAGCTAAAGCTGTGCTGGGGCTTTCTATATTTAACTTGTGCGTTTTGATGTTCTGCTGTAGAATCTGAGGCGAGTCGGGCATCCAAATGGAATCTTATATAACTGTTTTTGTGTGATTGAGGGGGAGATGTATGCTCACATGGGTGTGAATGGAAGAGTTTAGTGTCTTCCTCTCTCTCTCTCAACCTCATGACAGGGTCTTTCGCTGAACCTGAAGCTTGCCACTTAAGCTAGGTGTCCTGACCAGTGCGCTCCCAAGGACCTTCCTGTCGCTACTCCCAAAACACTGGAGTTACAGACACACATGGCCATGCCCAGCTGTTCACCCGAGAGATGAAAATTAGAACTCTAGTCCCCTTACTTTCAAAACATGTGCTCTTGCCTCCAAAGCCATCTCGCCATCTCTTTTCTACGTATATGTAGTTAGTAAGCGGGTTGCCTGCCCTGGTACACATGTGGATGTCAGAAGACAACTAAAGGCCATTGCTTCTTTCCTTCCACCAAATAGGTTCTGTGGACCAAACTCAGGCTCGGTGGCAAGTGTCCTTACCCACTGGGCCATCTTACTGGCCCTTAATTCAGTCTTCATAAATCTTCAGGCTAAAATAGTACCTGTTCCTTCCTAAATGTATAGGTGTACCTGCCTACGTTCTAAAAGCAGGCAAATTGAATGGATGTGTGGTGAGAATCCTTACTGTTGGCACTCATCTCTGCAGTTCCTCCAGGAATGTGGTACACTTTGAGTTTATTTCCCAGGAAGAAGCGTCAGTTCTAGTGAATTCAATATGGACTTTCCCATGCCCTCACTCTAAAGGTCATGAAACCAATATAGGGTTTCTGCATGCTATCAAGTATCTCTAGTCCAATAGTACATTCTGAAACTGGGGAAATAGCCACTGGATAGATTAGGAAACCTACTAGACCCACTTCAAAATGCACTCAAGCTAAAATTCAATTGATCTCCTGACACGATAAGCTTCTGTTCTAACCATGGGAGGCTAGGTGTCAGTGTGGAGCCAGTGATCAAAGTCCATTAGATCCTCAAAGGTCTGATGACTTATTCTTTTCCAAAGCTCAATTCCCTAGTTAAAAAAAATTAGCTTAAAAAAAAAACTAATGGGAAGACTAACCTTATAAAGTTTTAGTGTTAGGGTCTTTATCAAGTGTCCCTCCTGCTCACTGAAAGGGTTATGGATCTATTGGTTGGCTCAAACCTGAAAATGGGTGGAAGTTGTGGATTAGCTGTTTTTCTCCTAACTGTAACAAAATACTGGCGTAGGAGAGGAAAGATTTATCTTGGCTCACAGGTTCGAAGGTTTCAGTCCATCCTGAGAAGGCATGATGGCAAGAACAGTGGCCCATAGAGGAGGGGGTGTGAATTGGCTGCTCGTCACATCTTGGATCTGAAAGCAGAGAACACAGACAAGAATCAGCAGTGGGTGAAACCTTCAAGTCCTGTCCTGGTGACCCATGGCTCATGTCCCTACTTGGGAACAAAGTGTTCAAATTACATGAGCCTATAGAGGACATTTCACATTCAATCCATACCAGGCTGTGACCATTTTATGATTTACATTAGACCAAAAAAGAAGGAACAGAGATGATCTGTTTCATTTCCACAAACACCGTAATCAATCAGCAACACTGTAGGTTTGAATAAAGCAGCTCATTCTGATTTGCTGCTTTGAGCCTAATGTCCATCACATACCTGCACCCACCACCTGGCCCGTGGTGATTGAGAGCATCCCCTTTTTATCCTCACTACTTTGGGTTTCCTGAGTCAGTAATGGCAGTTTCCACTATTATATCTTGCCTACAGAGAGAGGCCATGAGCTGTACAAAGTTTCCAGGGCTCCCATCACAAAAATATTTCTCACCATCATTGTGAAATGTGTCATCTTGACCTTCTCAGTGTGGGGGAGTAGATCTAAACTGACAGGTTCGTTCTAACAGTCCAGTCTTCCCAGGCCTTGGCATCCCTCCACCTGCACTAAACTGAGGGAGTTTGATTGTCTACTACTCACTCACAGTGGAACTCCTGTGATCCATGTTTCAGGCAGACAACCAAGCTGCTGGAGCCCTATTTATTCACATGTTCATTCATTTGTTTTCTGTGTAAAAATGCTTTTTATTTATTTCTTAATGGACAGATGATAACTATACTTTTTCTAGGATATAGTATGTTTTGGTAGATTTGTAATGGTCAATTTGGGATGTTTAGATTTTCCCTTACCTCAACCACATATCATTTCATTGTATGAGAACTATGAAGATCCTCTTTCCTAGTTGAGTGAGTTATGTGGTACAACATTGTTACCTGGGATCACCCTTCTGTGTAGTAACACACCAGAATACATTCCTCCTCTCTGGCTGGGATTATGTACTGCTAACTAATCTCTTCTTCATCCCATACCTACCCCACCCCCAGCATCCACTCTACTACTTTTGGCTCCTATGCACTCTACTTCCTTAGATTTAGTATGAGCAAATTAAGCAGTGTTTGCCCATCTGTGCCTGACTTCCTTATGATCACCGGGACTATTACATGTTATTGTAAACGACAGGATTTCATCCTGAGTAGCCTTGCATTTTGTACATGCACATTTTGTCCATCTGCTGATGGACATTTACGTAGAGTGTGTATCTTGGCTATCGTGAATAGTACTGCATTAAACCTGGAATGCAGATGTCTTTTTGGCACACCTGTTTCAAATCCTTTGGCTATAGATTCAGTAATAGGATTGTTGAATCATATGGTATAGCTCTACCTTTAACTTTTTGCAGATCTCCATACTGCTTTCCTTTACCCACTTCATTGATTTATATTACCATCACAATGTACAAGACCTCCTCCTTCTTTGCATCCTTGCCAGCATTTGCTATTTATTTCTCCTTTTGATTGGCACTAGAAATTCTAATTTGGATGAGGTAAATGTTGCATTGTAGATGATTTGCATCTTGATGAGGACTGGTGATATATATGGAGCAGTTTGACAGACTTGCTGGCTATTTTATATGTTAAGTGTCCCTTTGAACAGCCAGAGCTGTAACAGTGGATACCTCATCCTAGAAAGTTCATATCAATAGGTTTGGCTGGGTCTAACTTTTTGTTCTTCTCCCCACTATCCCATGCCCTTAATGCCCATTCCTGCACATGCTCCCCACATTTCTACCAGTGTCAATTAGAAACCTCAAATATTTTTTTGAAGTGCAATTCATATGGGCCATACTTTGAACCTCACCTTCCAGGAATCTACTGGGATTTGAGTACAATTATAAGACTAGAAGCAAAAAATGATGACTCATCCTGAAGAGAGTCAGTGGTATCAAGCAGGCAACTGCCTCAGAGGGAGGCTACTGCAATCCCCACAGGCAATGTTAGGGCTAATCTTGGGTGGAGCTATTACAGGGCATTCAGAGGGCAGTAGATGTATAAATATTGAAAAACAAGGTTTGTGTCATTCTAGCTTTTTAACTTTGCACTTAGTTGTAACTTGATCATTTATTGCACTGTAATTCCCTACTTGACACAAATCGTCTTGGTATTCAGGATATGTTTTATTCTCCTCTCTTTTCTTTGCAATCTACAATATTCAGACACTTGAAAATTCAGACATTTCTTCTTACATTAATAATAAATCCCTATCATGTTTATCAATGAGATTTTGGGAATCTACATAGTAATATATAGCTGGTGTCCCAAGTATTAGTGACTGATTATTTAATATTTAAACAGTCTTGTAGACTGACATATTTCTCCAAGTTTTATGAGATTTTATAGTAGTTTGAAGCAGTCTCTCTCAAAATTTTTCTCAGTTTACCACTCCCCAAAGTTACCTTTTTGTGTAGATGCAGATGTCTGCTGCTGCGTGTGTGTGTGTGTGTGTGTGTGTGTGTGTGTGTGTGTGAGAGAGAGAGAGAGAGAGAGAGAGAGAGAGAGAGAGAGAGAGAGAGAGAGAGAGAGAAAGAATGGCCCAGAGGACAACTTCAGGTATCATCCTCAAAAATGCTGCCACCTCCTTGGAGTCAGGACCTTTCATTGGCCTGGAATACATCAAGTAGACTAGACTGGCTAGCCAGTGAACCCCAGGGGTCTGCCTGTGTCAACCAACCTCAATGCAGGAATCACAGAAAAGCCATCACACCTGAATTTCATATGTGGTTCTGGGAAAGGGCATTAGACATCACTTTAGAAAGCAAGATAAGCTGGGCGGTGGTGGTGCACACCTTTAATCCCAGCACTGGGAGGCAGAGTCAGGCGGATCTCTGTGAGTTCCTCTACAGAGCGAGTTCCAGGAAAGGCGCAAAGCTACACAGTGAAACCCTGTCTCGGAAAAACCAAAAAAAAAAAAAAAAAAAGCAAGATAAAACAAAGAACAGATGTGTCTGCTTTTTCTCCCCAGTTAACTTGCCCTTCAAGGCCTCCACAAGAATAGGAGTTGTTTTGGCCGTGATCATTTACCTTGGATCAACTAAATAAGTAGAACCAGAGATACAGTAAAGAGAGTTTGCCTATTTTACTCGTGAAAATAAAAAAATAGTTTATTTTGAACCAAATATGAATATGAATAACTCTGACCCAGGAACACAGATTTAAATTGCTGAGAGGTAATCCATCAACATATATAAATAATACACTGATGGGGTGTTGGGTAAGCAGGACATAGCAGACTTGGAAGTCTTTTCTATGGATTTTAGTTGTTATAGCATTTTTATTGCAGCTTTAAGGATAGAGATCTGCTGTGCTTAGAAGATATGTTTACCTATAAACTCATAAAGTAAGTAAGGCATGAAAGTTAACATAAATACTATTAAAGATCCTGTGATAGCTCTAGAATTATTAAATCCATCTCTCTGCAACCACGGTGTTCCAGGCTAAGGTCATTCTGCAGGATCTTTAATATAGATGTGATTTATTCAGAGAACTGGAGCTTGATGAGCCAGCAAATTAACGTAAGGAAGAAAAGGACAGTGTAGTCCAGTATACTAAGCTATCTTTTGGTGAAAATGGGGTTAATTAATTAATTTTTTATATATTAAACAGTTTAGACCTACAGGAAAGAAGGAACAAGTAGGGTAACCACTGCCATGTAGTCATCTGCAGTACTAGTGTCTGGATGCTGAGTCCTCATAATTGCCACACTGAGCCTGATTTCAAATGTGATCGTATCAGGGAGAGGATGGGTGGGAAGTGATTAAGTCACTGGGTAGCATCCTCAAGACTGGAACTAGTGCCTTTATAAAAGATGCCCTGGGCAGCTGCCTTTCCCCTCCCACCATGCAAAAATGTAATGAAATGGATTCATCTATACCTCAGAATGTGGAGCCTCGTCAGACATTGAAGCTGCCCTTACCTAGACTGTGAAGGCCCCTGCCTCTACAATTGTAAGAAACACAGTTCTGTTGTTTATAAACTCTCTGGCTAATGGCATTTTGTTACAGCAGTCTCCACAAACTAAGGTGCTTGGGTTAATGATTTGTCACATTTCGCTGCCACTTTATTCTTCTAAAGTATTTTATCATAAACTACAACTAGTATAATATTTTATCTCCACTCCTTCAGCGTATATCTTCTTTTAACATACTATTTTCTTATCTAAAAAGTGGCACACGCCTTTAATCCCAGCACTCGGGAGGCAGAGCCAGGTGGATCTTTGTGAGTTCGAGGCCAGCCTGGTCTACAGAGCAAGATCCAGGAAAGGCACAAAGCTACACAAAGAAACCCTGTCTCAAAAAACCAAAAAAAAAAAAAAAAAAGTGAATTTTACTTCTGAAATCTTTAAGATTAAAAGAAGGCATTTCTAGTATTAAAAAGCGTTCATTATTATGCTCGTCACTGTCTCTTCTACTAGCAAAGGAGAAGAGAAAAATACTTGGACTTGTGAGAATAGGTCCAAGTAACAGTTGAGACTTTCTATTTTGGTGTTTCCAGAAAGGACCTGACAGAAGGAAGCCAAGTTCTTTTTTGCCTTGAACTATTGATGACTGTGGTCAAGTTAGGCCAAAAGCTGAGGCTCCCCTCATTAGGAAGTGCTATACAAAGATTTGGCTAAACACTAGATGTTTTTGCTTAAGAATTTAGTCAAGGGGGCTGGGAAGACAGCCAGTCAACAAAAGCACGAGGACCTGAGTTTATTTTGTTTTTGTTTGTTTGTTTTTAGAGATAGGATTTCTCTGTGTAGCCCAGAGTGTCCTGGGACTCACTCTGTGGACCTGACAGGCCTTGAACTCAGCGGTCCACCTGCCTCTGCCCCGCCAAGTGCTGCAATTAAATGCATGCACCACCACTGCCTGGCAAGGAGCTGAGTTTAATATTTAGCAAGAAAAAAATCAGGGAGGACGTTGGAGGTGCAAAGATGTAAGTGGTGATGAGGAACACTGAGAAGAGGGAGAGGCAAAAACGAAGGGACGGGAGTCTAAACTAAGTATGTATAAAAATGCCTTAAGGGAACCTACTCAGGAAATTAATTTAAAAACAAAATTTTATACACACACACACACACACACACAGAGCTGGAGCTGTAGTCATGGCTATAGTATCAGATAGGAAAGTAGACAAGCAAGCATCCCTGAGGCACACTACCCAGCTAATCTAGTCAAATCCCTGACCTCCAGGTTTAGTGAGAGACCCTGCATCAAAGGGTGGAGAGATATTGAAGAAGAAACTAATATACCTCTGGCCTCCACACGCTCAATGATCATATGTGCGGGGGCAACTACACACACATTCACAGAGACACATGGGTATGTGCACATGCACACACAGAATCTCAGTCAATATATTAAAATTTTGAACACAGAAAGAGAATACAGAAAAGCGTGAAAGAAAGGTTTGAAGAGTGAAGTGGGGGAAGATGGTCTTATAAATCTAAGTCATATACGACAGTCAAAGCATCCCTTCTGTCTGCTTATATCCCCTTCCTCTTCAACCATTAAGAAGGTAAGGTTTCTTTATTTTGTTTTATGTGTATAAGTGCTTTGCCTGCATGATTCCCTCAAGGTCAGAAGAGGACATCAGATCACCAGGAAATGGACTTACGGATGGTTGTGAGCCACCATGTGGGTACAGGAAATCAAACCTGGGTCTTCTGCAAGAGCAACAAGTACTCTTAACCACTGAGCCATCTCTCTAACTCACTTCCTGGTACTGTAAGCCTGGTCAAAAAATACAGCTGGCAAAGTCCTCGGGAATGAGTTACTTCCCTTTGAGTTGTTGGCCAATGGTGTCACATTGATCCCCTAACATTGCAGGTTATTGCCAATACTCCTGGTCACCATCCAGAATGGGTCAGGAAGACCTTATTGCTGAAGATACCACATTCTTGAATCACAGGACATGGAAACATCAAGCTGGTACTCACCTTCAAGTTTCATACCTGCTGGTTAGCATCTCTCATAGTGGAAGGTGCTAGAAGGAAAAAAGTAAATTTCAGTCTCACCCAGCTTTGCACCCTGAAAGTTACAGAAGTGAGTGACCCGACAAGATAGGCTCACTGGGGAATAGGGGTACAAATGCTGTGGAAGTAACGAACCACTTCCAGATTGGATCAAGGGCCCACTCTATGAGATGGAATCTATACCTGACACTAGTGTTAAAGGGGCCCAGACCCTGTAGCTAGATAGGTCATGGATCTTAGGGGAGAACCCATCCCTATTACTTTGCTAAATAGTATTAAAATAACCCCTTAATGCCCCCCTTTAATTCTCCCAAGGGAAAAAAATCTTGGCTTATGGGGAGAAGAGAACACTGACACACTGTTATCAATCCTGAAACTAAGTGTTAATCTGTTGCTGCTATTCTAGTCTGCATTTTTTTTCATCAGCCGAAAGGAGCATTCCAGAAAGACTAAAATCATCCACCTGTTAGAGTGGACAGATCCAAGAACACAGAAGAGTTCCTGCATCTTTGGGAAGGAGAAGACATCAGTCTGCTTCGTGTCTATGGCACTCAGTTCCCACTTATGTCCTGTTTATTCGTGCTCTCTGTTGCCCTCTGGAAGTTCACTCTTTTAAGGTGGAAATGTGAAGCTGGAATGCTAGTAAGCAATGCTGTTTTACGTGTATGTGTACATGTTCATGGAGATAGAGACACAAACCATGAACCACCTATTTTTGGCTGCATTTACTCCTATTTATCCACTTATTTAAGTTGAGATACAAATTAAACTCTGTCCTCCAAAAGAGTGCCTTGAAGAGTAGTTACATGGGAAAAGGACTCTTTTTTCTTTTCTTTTTTTTCTTTTAAAGTTATGTTTTTCTTTCTCGGTACAGTGGCATATAGGCAAATAGGCAAGGCAATAGAATCTGTTACTAATAATTCAAGTATTAATGTGGCTAATTTAGCCACATGCATAAAAAAACTTTTAAAACTGTCCAGCTTTTCAACTTATTACTATGGTTTAAATAGAATTAAATATTCTTCCCAAAATTCAGGTTGGGAGCTGGGGGTGTGTGTCTCAGTTGGTAAAACATGTGCTGCACAGCATGAGGGCCTGAGTTTGGGTCCCCAGAGTTCACATGAAAAGCCTGGCATGCTGTGGAGTGTGCCTCCCACAGGGCAAGGGGAGGCAGAGATGAGATTCCCCAGGCTTATTGGCCAGCCTGGTTATAATACAAATTATACCAGGAAATTGTCATGTACTGTCTGTGACTGTCGAGAACTGACGCTAAGGACAAGACAGGTTACCTTGTTTTAGACCTCAAGCATGTTTAATGCAAATGTCCTCCCAAACATTCTTTCATGGGACAGGCTGCCTCTGCAACAGAGAGAAAGGAAAAGAGCAGAACATCCCAGGAGTTAACACATGGCGCCCTGGAAAACAGAAGGAGAGTAAATCATTTGAGAAAAAAAAAAAAAAAAAAAAAAAAACCATTGCGTCCTTTAGAACAGGTAGAGGAGAAATCTTTTCCAACAGAGATTACTGTTGTCTGTGGAATGGTATAAAAACTTAGTGGGAACAAGAAGGTGGAAGCTCCTGCATGGAGAGATGGCTCTGCCGGTCTGGAAATCACTGTTACGAGCTTCAGCATTGGGCCTGGAGGGATGCTTCGGTGACTAAGAGCACTGGCTGATCTTCCAGAGGACCCACTTACATTTCCCAGCATCCACATGATAAACAGCGCTCAACTGTCTATAACTCCAGTTCCAGAGGATCCAACAGTCTTCTGCCCTCTGTTGGCACTGCGTGCCAAACATACAGATATGCAGACATACGTGCAGGTCAAACAGCAAACACATAAAATAAAATGAAAAAGGGGTTTTGTTTGTTTGTTTGTTTCAAAAAGAACTTCGGCACAACCATTCCAGAAGGGCCTCCCTGGTCATTTCCACTGGGTGCTGGAAGCATCTGATGTGATGATGTTGTGCTGTCTACATGTTGTTTCTATCTGCTACTTGCTCTTTGTTTCTTTTAACTCTTGTTTACTATGTACTTAATAAACTCACACATTCCAAACTAAGAAGTACAGCTATAAAGATCATTCCCCATACAGAGTCCCAGTCTAGCTGAATCGCAAAAATAAAGTGAAGAGCAAATGAAGAAGATACTGATGTTGACCCTTGGTCTATGCATACAGTTGTGTGTGCACATGCACACACACACACACACACACACACACACACACACACACACACACACACACACAAACACATGAACACATACACACACACCCTTAGGTTGAAATTTAATCTTTATTGTAAAGTATTAACAGGTAGGACCTTTAGGAAGTGATTCGGCCATGGAGGATCTACCCCTAATAATAGGTCCATTTCCATTAGTTGATTAATGGATTATCTTCAGACTGGATGTATTATAAAAGCCACTTTGGGCTGGGGATGCAGCTTTGTGGTAGGTAACATGCCTAGCATGTGCAAAATCCTGGGTTTGATTCCCAATACTATAAACAGGCGGCGGGGGGGAGGGGAGAAGGGGGTTGCTAACCTCACTCTTATTTGTGCCCCTCTATACATGTGACATCATGAGAGTCCTCACCAGCAAGAAGGTCCTCACAAGAGGTTTTTCAAGACAGGGTTTCTGACTTTTGTAGAACTCATTCCGTAGACCAGGGTGGCCTCAAACTCAGAGAACTGCCTGCTTCTGCTTCCTGAGTGCTGGGATTAAAGGCTTGCACCACCACTGCCCAGCTAAGACTATTCTTAAACTGACTGATCTTGTCAAATGTGCTATTCTAGCAAGGTCATAAGACTAACTGCTATTTCTGCTTTTATCATAAAACTTGCTTACTCTACTCAATGACTAGGACAACCTCAAGACATATATGTTAGAGAATACATGTAATCTTGTAGCTCCCGACTTTATCAGCCTTGGACTGATATGGCCAGGTGCTGTATCTTGGTTGCTCTCATGGTTGCAGCCCTGGTGCCACGAGTATCCAGCACCAGTATTTAATAAAACCTCTTCTTATTAGGTCATGGTGAATCTGAAAGTGACCCCAGAGCCATACACCAGCCTCCAAAACCATGATCAAAAACTCCTTTATAAGTTACCTGGAGTAGTCAGTTAAAGCAACAGAAATGGGACAGATATTTATCCAGTACCCTGGAGAGATAGTAAAGCTTAACTTTTGGTTGACTTAAAAATGACACTATTATGTTAAAAACATTGCATTCTTGTTACATCTGTGTAGTCATCCAGTATCCAAATAGTCACTGAATGTTCATTAACTGACAAGCAAGTTATTAGACAAAAAGAATATAAAAATGGTCCAAAACTACATAGACTGCCTTCATGGAACTAGTCTATTATCTTCTGAAAAACCGTGATGAGTTAAATGTAAAAACCCAGCTCTGATACAAGGGAGGCAGCGGAACAAAACTTGGAATATGAGGGTTTGATTCCACAGTGAGGGAAGGGTTTTTCCTAAGAAAATAGCTATTGAGCAGAGGCAGGAGGCTGAGTGGGCACCAATCAGATCTAATGTTATATGAGGGGTCCCTAGAGAAAAAAAACTGATAGAGTAACTATGTGTTTTTTAAAGGGGTATTTATTAGATCAGCTCACACAGTAGGGGCTGAGTAGTTCAACAATGGCTCTCTCTGCTCTGCTAGGCTGAGAAGCCAATAACTTCATGGTCCACAAACCTAGACACCTTAGTCATCACAATCTGCCAGTGAAGGCCTGAAAGTCCATGTTAGAAGACTGGAGACTCTGAAGTCTGCTGTCAACAAAGGATGATGGCAGCAGTGATGGCGTAGATACACTGATCAGCAAGAAGTGTAGTCAGGGAAGCATGCAGCACCGCATTTCCCTCAGACCTCTTTATATCTGGGCCAACCCAGGAAGATGCTACTTGCTATAGGAGAGTCTTTAATCCTTCCTGGAAATGTCTCACAGACCCAGGCAAAGTAGTCTCTCTTAGTTGACTCCAGATCCAATCACCTGATAATCAAGATTAACAATCACAAACAGGCAGAATCTCAAAGCAGTTCCACTGAGAGGTTAAGCATAGGGGTCTGCAGTCAGTCAAGCGTGGGTCAAACCTCACTCTGTGGCGTCAGTTCATTCAGGCTACTTTAGCAGAAGGCCAGAGATGGAGGCATAAGCAATGAGAACCCATCTCTCACAGGTTTGGGAACTGAGAAGCCCAAGGTTGTTTAGTAAGGGTTCACTTCCTGCTTTGCTGAGTGCCATTTTACAAGGCCTGGTGTCTCCTCCTCTAAAGGAACTAATCCTGTACATGTTGGTTCTGCATTTACTGTGCAACTATAGTTGAAAGACTATAGCTTCTAACACCATCACTCTGGCAGTCAGGACCTCCACAATCGAACTTCAGGGAGATGCAAACATTCATCCCACAACAAACACCCACAAGCCATCATGACTCTGGCAAGTTGTTCAACCTTTCTATTCTAGATAGCTCACCTACAAAACAAAGTTATGTTCCTTTATTTAATATGATTGTTATGAAGCGTAAGTTCAATAACATGACAAGACTTGAGCATCATATCTCAGATAGCATACATTTAATTACTGCCAGAAAATAACCAATTTAAGTGAGAGTAAAGAACCAACTGAAGAGGAGGAACAGCACGGGCAAAGGTCCTGTAGGAACTCGGTGAAAATAAAAAAGAAAGGGGGGGTCTGGTTTGATTTCTGCTTTTATTCTAAAAGGTGCTGGGAGCTCCCGAGGATTTCAGGATGGGGTATTTTGTAGATTCCATCCTCCTCTTGACTTAATGCTACAGCCTCACAGGACTACTTTCCTTCTCCAGTATGTGTTGCATGTCTGTGTACACAGCCATTCTTGTTCATGATTTTCTTTCTGCCCATCCTCTACACAAAGAGGCCTCCTCAGTCTCTCTCTGAACAGCCCCCTGCCTCCTGTCCACTGAGACAGTTTCACAAGACGTCCCATGATAGCCTTGAAGTCATGATCCTTCTACTTCAGCATTCTGGGAATACAATTACAGATGTGCACTGCTGTGCCCTGCTCACTTTTCTCACCGTTTACCTTTTTATTTGTTTATTTATTGGGAGGAGGACGTCACATGAGCTATGGTATACATGTAGAGATCAAAGGACAGTTCCTGATTGTAGTTATTAGAACTGAGAAATGCAATAGTTCCTGCTCCCCTCTTGAGACTAAATTTTGAACACTATATTGTTATAAGAAACTAGGGAGAAGTACCATGCTAGGAAAATAACATAAACCTCCGATAGCATGGGGTCCTCTAAAGAAGCATATTTGCCTGGAAAGAAGGATAGGCACATGAAGTAGTTTCATATTATGACAATAAAATATGAAGACAGATAAGCCATAAAGAGAAAAGGGTTTCTTCAGCTTACAGTTTTGGAGGTTGAGAGCTCATATAGTATAGTGCTGTTTTGGTGGCCCCTGATTGGCTGACTCACCTCATGTTTCAGATGGCAGGATCGTGAGTGTATACCGGGAGTAAGCTAATGATTAAATACTGAATTGGGAGGAAGAGGGAGGGAGGGAGGAAAGAATAATATCAAGTCAGGCTGGGGGCCCTCAAACCCTTTGAGGACACACCTTGTCTTAGTCAAAGTTCTCCTGCTAGAAAGAGACACCATGACCAAAACAACTCTTATAGAGGAAAACATTTAATTGGAGCTGGCTTACAGCTTCAGAGGTTTAGTCCATTGTAGTCATATCGGGTAACATGATGGCACACATGCAAACATGATTCTGGAGAAAGAGCGAAGAGTTCCACCTGGATCTGCAGGCAGCAGGAAGAGAGAGAGAAAGACTGGGCCCAGCTTGAGCCTTTGAAACCTCAAAGTCCATCACCATTGACTCACTTCCTACAAGGCCACACCTACTCCAACAAGGCCACTCTCCTAATCCCCTTCTGTTAGTGCCAGTCCATGATGACCAAGCATTCAAATATAGGAGCCTATGGGGGCCATTCTTATTCAAACCACCACAGACCTTTAATGACCTAAATTTACTGGACTCCACCTCTTAAACATCCACAGCACCTCCCAGGATCACCCCACTGGCAGGACTGAACACTTACATGGGGACCTGTGAGGGAACACCAGGCCATAGAAGGGCAATACAAGCAGGAGTGTGTGCCTTTGGGCACCTCAGGGTGGAATGTTGCAATCAGGCACACTTCACAAAATGGTCTCAGGAGATGATGTGAGATAGGGAAGCTGAGTGGCAGGGAAACTTATAAAAGACCTTGACTTTTTTTTTTTCCATAGAAGGTTAAATTTTATCTGTGAGATAATTGAGAGTTCATGTGGTACTGGAAATGAGAGACTTATTTTGTGCTCTCTTGTCTCTAAATTACAGTGTGGGCACACTTCCCAGCACCTTCTCCACACCCATGAGGAAAAATAACCCATGCAACACAGAAACACCAAATCTGAGACACTGAGAAGTCACTCAGTTTAAACCCAGCCCTTTTCCTCATTGCTGGTTTTAGGAAATGTGCCTCCACACCTCCTCAGCATTATTTGAATTCGGAATTAGAGTGGGTGGAAAGGATAAAAAATGGTGAAGAGTCCCAAAATACCAAATCTCCATTTGTGTTTACCTAAAAAAAACCAAAAAAACCCTGTTCATAACGCTACGTGAAAGTGACTCTGACAGGTGAGGTGTGTGGAGATTAGGATGGAGGGGGGCTTCAGTGGGCTGCAGATGCTTCTTATTCATTAACACTGAAGCTAGGTTCCCACTTTCCTCCTTTCTCCTCTCCTCTCTCACCTTTACCTACAGCTAATCGGTAGCATGATCCTGTTTGTCGGGTTTGTGAAATGCCCACTGAGTTCTACTGGCTTTTCACTTCCTGTGCCCTGACCATTTACTTCACACCTTGTCTCTTTCACAGACCATAATAATGTTTTAGACATGCTTAACGCTCTGTTTCTCTTTTCTCCAACCCACCCTTTACATTCTGTGATGACAGAAACGCTTTACCCTTATGCTATTCTATATTCAGCCCCTTCCTCCCCCAAAGTGCCTATTGAGAACTAAACGTATGGCCAGCCTGGTCTAGAGAGTGGGTTCCCGGACAGCCAAGGCAATTACACAGGGAAAACTTGTCTCAAAAACAAAAACCAGACAGACAGCAACAAAGAAGCAACAAAGAAGTAGGATGAAAATGCAGATAATGAACACAAGAAAGATAACCCTAAACTGTAAGAAAGGAGTTAGGAGCAAGCCAGCCACCCCAGAATTCCAGGTGGCAAAGTTAACAGGGCCTGAGCTACACGGTAAGACACCGCTTTAGTTAACGTGGCTCTTTTCCTCCCCTATTCATTGCTTTCAAAGCACTCCTTTCTTGTATCTCCATGTCCAGAGCCGGTAGTATGGCGCTGAATGGCATTTGTAACCCAGTCTTTTGCTTTGCCACCACTAATGTCCTCTGCCCAACTACATTTATAGTCTAGTGCTACAGAGCCTTGCTTCGCCTAAGCAAAACCCAGTTTCAGATCTCCCAGCTATCAACCCTGCTCTTTGTTCTAATGACAGTGCCCATCCTTTATTTCTTTCCTTTCAAATGTTCCATATTTCAAGGCCTAATGAAGAAAGCCCGAACCTTATCCCCATCAGGGAAACCATCCCCTTCTCCTTGACCTCAGGTGAGCCTTGTCCCATCTCTCAGCCCAGTTCTCATCTGTGAAGTAAGAATAGTAACATTTCCTCTTTGGGGGAGGGTTAAAAATTGGAACTTTAGACTCTTACCACTGAGAAAACATGAAATAAAACCAGCTGTTATTGCCCCCACCCCAACAGTTATTGCGTGATGCTAGAAACATGTGCAAATGGAACTGTCTCTCTCCTGGAGACTGAATTTCTTAACAGCAAAGCTTGGTCTTGTTCTGCACTCTCCCTGGAGATACACTGTAGCCACTGGACAGATGCCTCTAATACATGAGTCAATGACTAAATAGAAGAAGCTCTGAGCATGGCTTTTTTTTTTTTTTTTAGACAAGGTTTCTTTGTGTAGCCTTAGCTGTCCTGGAACTAGCTCTGTAGACCAGGCTGACCTCATACTCACAGAAATCTGCCTGCCCCTGCCACCCGAGTGCTAGGACTAAAGCCTTGCACCACTACCATCCTCTAACAACTTTGTCTTGTAAAAATGTATTAAAAGTTTGGGCCAGGTGTGGTGGTGCACAGGAGGGAAGCCTGGTCAACATAATAAGTTCCAGGACAGCCAGGGCTATGTAGAGAGAGTCTTGTCTCAAAAAACCAACAACTGTGATGGTTAACATTACATGGACAAGCCGAGCGACGGTGGCACCTTTAATCCCAGCACTCAGGAGGCAGAGGCAGGAGAATCTCTATGAGTTCAAGGGCAGCCTGGTCGACAAAGCAAGTTCCATGACAACCAAGGCTGTTACACAGAAAAACCCCATCTCAAAAAAACCAACCAACCAACCAACAAACCAACTAACCAACCAATCAATAAAACATTACATTTACAGTTTAAAAAACTTACTGTGCTTGAGAGACCAAAAAGCAAAACATGCCTCTAACGTGTAAGCCCTAACTTGTACAGGCTGTACCCTACCAGCCCACCTCCCTTTTCCCCCAGATGTTGAAGACTATTTTTAAATTGACTGATCATGTGAAATGTACTGTTTTAGCAAGATAGTAGTAGGTCATAAGACTAGCTGCCATTTCTCCTTTTGGAATCAAACTTGCTCACTCTGTTCAAAAAGATGACTAAGACAACTACAAGACATGTATGTTAAAATTAAACCCTGCCTGTACATAGACAGAATACATATAATCTTGTGGGGTTTGCCTTCAGAAGCCTTCGGCTGTTATGACTAGGGGCTGTGTCTTGAGAGTGCTCTCAGGTGTAGTCCCGGCCCCACAATGAATGCCAGTACCTAAAATAAAAAGCCTCTTCTTACTGAAGTTTATTTATGGCCATGGTGAATCTCTGAGAGACCCCAGACCCATAACACAACAACAAAAAATTGGCACTTCCCAGAAAGCAGATTAAGCAGTCTAAGCAGCTTCTTGACTTCTGTACCCTTTAAATGCCAAAGCAATGGAAATTTCCCCAGGAATCCCATGCTGGGAGAAGGAAAAGGCACCATCCAGAGGGGCCGCTTGTCTCTGGGAAAGAGATTTCATATAGTTGTAACAACTTGTCATACCACCCTAGAGGTTGAGACTGGAGCTCAGACAATGATGAGCTAGATGTGGACTGCTTAGCTGTGCATATCCTGCGCTCTGTATTTCATCTCACTTCAGGACCCCCAAAGACAGATTAGGAGTTCACTGGGTCCTATTCTCTCTCTCTCTCTCTCTCTCTCTCTCTCTCTCTCTCTCTCTCTCTCTCTCTCTCTCTCTCTCTCTCTCACACACACACACATTTCCACTACTGATTTGATTCTTTCAGTTGATTCTTTCAGTTGGCTGGCTGAGGATGAGAGCCTTCACCTGCCTTGGAGCACAGGCCATGATCCTTAAGTTTGATGACATCCCCACTGCTTGTGTGCTTGGACTACCAGCTCCAACACTTTTATCATTTGTTTCTTCCTTTTTTTTTTTTTACTTTCCTTTTCTTGCCCCCAGGGGTCCTCTGTCCCCTCCCCTTCCCTATGGGGACAAAGCTTTCATCACTGTTGCCAAGGCAACAGTGGGGATGCCTCATTCTTCAGAGCCCTGCATCTCTAAGTATATTTTAGCCTTTGTCCACTGAGCTGGCTCAGTTCTTTGTAAGGGGTCCGCCGCTAAATCAACTATCTTCTACCCATAACTTTATCCAATATTTCACCCTATTTAAACCAAAAGAAAAAGAAAATGTCTTCGCCTGGGAACGGCCTTTACACAGACGGGTCAATTTTCTTGAATGCCCCAGACATTAGTTCTGGAGAGCAAATGTGAACATCGCCTTTGCAAGTGTGCGCTTCCACAAGTGCGGGTCAATTTTAAAGCACGCACTACAGCATTCATAATGGATTTCCCTTTTAAAAGCACAGGAGACCAAAAATAAACCTGACAAAAGGGCAGCTGTAGAATTTTAACATGTGGAAAACTCCACAGGCGGCACTTACATAACGGGAAAGAAACAAGATAAATATTTCACACGCTCAGATGAACTTCCAGATGACAACGAAAAAAAGCCAGGAACCTAGAACACACCTTAACTCTCTAGGGAGGTCCGGAGGGGGTTGCGGGGGCGGGGAACGCTTGAACTAAGAAGATAAAGTCTGGGACCTGACTTGAAGCTCGAGTGAAGGCTGATTTTTTTTACCCTGCTTTCCAGAGTGTGAGGCACAACTCACGAACCAGTACTTAGGAGCGCTTTTCCAACGATTTCTGTCCGCTAGGTAGAAATTTTCCAAAAATCTCCCACCCCAGGCAAAACACTGAAAACGAAGTTTTCTAACACCAGAGAAGAAAAGGGCGAGACAGACCGAGGCACCCCCACCCCCACCAACCCACACAACAGTGCCCATCCCACCCGGCTGCGCTCTCCCGCCCCCGGCTCCTCGCCCTGGGGACAGCTGGCAGCCCAGCGCGGGACCAGACACAAAGCGGATCAGCCTGGGGGCGGGGGCCCGACCTGCTGGACTCTCCCTCCAGCGGCCAGCCTCCTGCCGCCGTCCCTCGCTTAGGACCCTGCGGACACCGCGCCCCGCGTCCACGCCCTCTCCTCAAGCCCCCCCACCCTTAAAAAGAAGGAACGTCCCAGACCCTACGTCCCCAGGGCCAGAAGACCTGCCAGTGGAGGCACCCGGGACCAAAGAGACTGACATCGCGGCAGGACCCGACCCTCCGCCTCCACCTCTCCCGGACCTCGGCTGCTCCGCCACCCCGCCAAGTGCTGGGGGCCCGGCCCGCCTGGCACGCTCCAGCGGAGGACCCTCGGCTACGCAGCCAGCTGGCGCTCGCGTAGATGGCGAGGAGCCCCCAAGGCCTCCTGATGCTGCTGCTGCTGCACTACTTAATGATCGCCCTGGACTGTAAGTCTCTGGGGTACCTCCACCCGGCCAACCCTCCTACCCACTCTCGAGTCCCGTTATACCAGCCTTCCGGACGCTTGCCCGCAGGCGCGGCGCTCAGGGCTGGGGATCTGCCACGGGGCACCAGGTTTTGCACTCTGGGAGCACGAAGGGTAATCCGGATACAGGCAGGCTCTGGGCGGGTAGACTGAAGTCTTGAGTGACTTGTAAATAGTGCTGGGTTTTGTCGGTTCAAGTTGAAGAAAAACTAAGGGTCCCTACCAGACGATTCTCGTCTCCTTACAAAGTTGGGGGAAGTTTTCAAAGACACAAGGACGTGATCAGAATGCAAAACTCATAAAAGTATTCAAGACGCAAAGAGCCCAAGAAAGATGGCATCCGGGGTTGGCTCAGGGCACTCTGAAGTACCAGCGGGCCAGTGGCAGAGTCCTAGCTGTGCAGGCAAGGTGCTTGTGAAACACTTTAGAGGCGGGAGTAAGTGAAGTTCGAGACTGCTGAGCCCCAGTAGCTGTTACCCTTTCTGCCTGCAAAATCTAGTTAGAGAAGTCTTGTCTGGCCACTCTAGCCAGCTGCCGTGTCCTCAGGGGACATCCAACCAGCAGGGCGATTGTTAGGATTGTTAGAAAGGCGCAAGAGATGAATGAGCGAGCGAGCTGGCAGCTGGCATAGTCCGGGAGATGTCCCAAAGCCAGTTTCTCTGGATGCTTTTAAAGGGGATTTGTACGAATAGCGGTCTCATGTGATTTGAAATTTGATTTTGTTTTCTTTGCGTTAACTTTTTAGGAGAATGGAGAAAATAACAATAGATTTTAAGTGACAAAGTCTTGGTGGTGTTTGCTTATTGTTCTTGGTTTTTGTTTGGGTTTTTTTTTGTTTGTTTGTTTTGGTTTTACTTTGATACCCCACGTTTCCTGTCTGGTTTTTTTTTTCCTTTTTGAGAAGTGGTTAAAATGTGCTACTGTTGACCTTCAAATTCTAGTAATAGTACTTTCAGTATTTATTTTGCCTGATGAATGTCTTAACGCCCCAACACTAAGGCTTTTTCTCAGACTCCCTTAGCCCCAGCCCAAAGTGATGGGGGCTCACAAAGGGGTATGCCCCTCAGAGTCTGAGCAGGGTACCTGCTGTCTCAGGGAAGCAACATGTCAAACCAGGAAGTTGAAGATTTCACAATGAAACCTTTATGCCTTTTGAAATATCAGCTGGTATCAAACAGAGAACACGGGGGTTGAGAGGCAATGTACTCACGATGAAAATCAGTAACAAAGCTGAAATCTGGAGGAAGTGTAACAAAACAAAGTCGTGTGTTCCTCTGAGCTCTTAAGTCTCCCTTTAACAGGAGTGTGAATGTGCTGTAGAATTGTTCATTAAAGCACAGAATTCCTCTGTTATTCCCATTCAGTCATCAAAGTAGAAACAATAGGCGCGTTTGAAATGGTCAAGAACGCAGAAGCAAGAAAAGGCTTACTCAATGGGCAGAATGATCCCTTCGAATTCTCGATCATGTGCCGGCTCTGCTAATCCTGATACCTGTAAGGAATGAGTTGGGAGCTTTTTCCATACTGTTCCCCCAGTGCCAGAAAGTCTGGCATGTCACGGGTGTTTTCTTTCCTTTTAGTAGATTTAAAATTTTTAAGAATTCAGACTTAAAGAAAAATTTCATTAGTATAGGACGTTCCCATATCATCCATACCCATTTCACCACTGTTGTCCTGAAAGATGTCATATGGAACACTCTGCTCGGATTTTTCCCATTCCTATGGAATGCCCTTTTCTGCTCCAGGATTCCACATTGTGCTCATAGTCATGTCCCTTTATGTTCCTCTTGGCTGAGGCAGTATTTCAGACACCGCTGGTGTTTTATGACCTTGACAGATACTGGGGTGCTGGTCAAGTATTCTGTTAAATTTCCTTCAACGGGTATATCTGAGACGCTTCATTTGTGGTTAGATGAGGTTGTGGGATTTGGGGAGGAAGGGTACAGAGGCAAATGTCATTTTTATCCTGCCATAACCCAGGGAGCATGTTGACGTGGTCTATCACTGTTGATGGTAACCTTCATTGCCTGGTGGAGGCATTGTGTCAGTTTCCCCATAGATTCTCCACCTCCTGTCCTCATTTCCATACCATACGTTTAGAGGGAAGTCAATATCTGCAACTCACACTCAAGGAAGGAGGCAAGGGTGGTGATGCAGGACTATCATCTCAGCACCCAGGCGGGAGGCAGGAAGATCATTCAAGGCCATAAAAGATTCAAGGCCAGCCAGAATTATAGTGAGACTATCTCCAAAAATAATCAAGGGATGAGGGGTGGGGATCGGAGATAGAAAGAAAGGACTGGAAATAAGCACTTGTAAAACATGAACATACACATATGAGCATACCCATGCATGCATGTGAATGTGTACACACACACAAACACACACACACACACACACACACACACACACACACACACACACACACGTGCACATGTACACACACATGAAGGAACAAGTATCTCACTTCCATAAGGATGAAATTTCTTCATACATTATCTGGGATTTGTATCCATCATAGATATGTCTTCTTGAACTTATTTACACACTTATTTAATCACTTTAATATCAGCATGAGCTTATTAATAAATATGTAAATAATATATATTTAGTTGGTAATAGAATACTATTTTTATTAAAAAGGTGGAGCATCTCTTATCTGTAATAATTTAATATTCTTCTCAAATTTAGTTGTACTGATTCTTTGTCCCAATCCAACCATGCATAGTTACAATATCATGCTTATCATATTCTTTCTACTATCTGTCAATTTCTAATATCTTTCACGGTAATCTAGGGAATTTTTTGCTATGATTTTTTTGTTTTTAATGCATGAATTCAACATCATTTATAAATATATGGACATTGACTTTTGTATTTAGTTGATGTATTTGTCCCCTATCAGCTACTGTAACAAAGTATCTAGGATAACCATATTAGAAAGAACAAAGGTTTGTTTTTGCCTCCCAGTTTCAGAGATTTCAGACTATGCCTGGCCACTGCTTTTGCTGCTGTGTTGACATAGCACATGGGGAATACAAGAAACAGAGTTCTGCTCCAAGAAGGAACCGAAAGGGAGGAAGGAGTAGTAAGTTTCCCTCTTTCCCAAGGCCACACCATCAATGATAGTTACAACACCGAGGAGGTCTCAGCTCCTAAAGGTTTTACCACTTCCCAATATTGCCACAGGCCAAAGACCAAGTCTTTGAAGAACACATATCCAAACTCTAAACAGTTGTATAATATCTTTCCTATCCAAACTATAAACAATTACAATATCTTTCCTTCTCCAGTGAGGCAGGACGTTTTTTGATCTTTGACTGCCATTCTTATGCCCATTACTGAACAAAGTACCTGGTTCATAGTAGATGTGAGCAAGTATCTGTTGATCAGATGTAGTCCACTCAGCCTGCTATGACAAAATACCATAGACTAGGGAGCTTATAAACAAATATTTTTTTCTCTCATAGCTACAGAAACTGGGAAGTCCACAAATAAGGCAAGAGCATTTCCACTGCCTGATAAGGGCCCAGCATTTGGTTCATACATGTTCCTTATGGCATCCTCATGTGGTGGAAAGGGCAGGGCAGCTCTCTGGGGACCTGTTTTATATAACCTCATTTGCAAGGGCCCCGTTTATGAACTAATCCTCTTCCAACAGTCCCATGTCCTAATACCATCTATCATGTTAGTAACCAGGTTTCCACAAATGACTTTGGTAGACACAAATGTTCAGACCATCGAGTAGGATGGAGATGAGGTTTGGAAGACAGATGTAGTATATAGAGTGAATTAGTGATCATACTGTAATCATGAAGTACCAACTTCATGTTGAGTGAGCAGTGTCCCATTTCTGTAAAGTGATAGGCTATTATTTCTAAAAACAGGAGGAATGAGTGTTCAGTATTGGGAATGGGGCTCTCATGAGTATTGGGATCTCTCAGAGAGCACTTTCTGCCACTTAACAGTCCGATGGCAGCTGAGTCTCCAGATGTGGGCTGGACCCCTAGCCAGCCCCTAGGCCTGAGTCTATAATCTCTCCTAAAATGATCAGGGCTATGGAAAGAAAGAGTGGTCTGGATATATCATAGCATCATAGACTCCAGGAGACCAGTGATGCAAAACTTCTGCCAGTCGTAAACATTGCCAAGAACAAAGCATCACCATCGACTGGCTCAAGAGAATAATTTGAGGCTGGTACAGTTTCGATTACCTAAAGAACATAAAGCCCAAATGGGAGTTTGTTGGTGGGCCTGACAACCATTTAAAGACTATGTCAGACAATGCAGTTCAAAAAGTCTCAAGCAACAGTTTCAGCCGTAAAGAGAACATTGGGTTTTCTTTGGCCAGGAACTCTCATTCATCCTTTACCTGTGCGTGAGGAATGACACCCATGGGAGAGTGTGGACGTGGACCACCCATGCCTTCCTTTGCACTGGATTTTCCCCTAGGGAATTGTCAGTGGGGAATAGACAAGAACTGCTGTCTTTTTGGTTTTTTAATCAAAGACCGTCAGGGTTTTGTTCAGGTTGTCACATCAAATGCCTTTGTCTGTCTGTCTGTCTGTCTGTCTGTTTTGTCACATGGTGTCTATCAGTGGAAAATTTCTGAGCCCATTCACCAGGACTTGTAGAGAAGGTGAGGGTGAATTTAAAGAAGAGGAATTAGGACTTGGGCAGGTGTTTCCTTTGGCAAAGCTAGGAAAGGAAGTCTTAAAACAGAGCACTCCGCCGGGCGGTGGTGGCGCACGCCTTTAATCCCAGCACTGGGGAGGCAGAGCCAGGTGGATCTCTGTGAGTTCGAGGCCAGCCTGGACTACCAAGTGAGTTCCAGGAAAGGCGCAAAGCTACACAGAGAAACCCTGTCTCGAAAAACCAAAAAAAAAAAAAAAAAAAAAAAAAAAAAAAAAAACAGAGCACTCCTTTCTTGGAAGGCCTTGCTGTGCTCAAGTGGAGGACTCAGAGAACTAACCCAAATAATGAGTTGTCTATTGCTGTGAAAACAAACAGCCATAATAATACAACAGCAATTCACTGTGTTAATGTTCTGAAAGTCTGGAAGTAGATCACACTGGAATAAAACCAAAGTATCCACCAGCAGTAGTCCTTCTGGGGGTCACAGTGGAGAACTTGTTTCTCAGCCTTGCCCAGCTTGTCAAGCTGAACAGGGCCCATCCTTCTACCTTCAAAGCCAGCAGCAATGCCAGGCTGCTGCCTCTCTGACTCTCCCCCTTCTGCCCGTTTCATCT